GATAGATCAAATTTAGTTGTACTGAGCTGTTTGTAAAATAAAGAAACTTATGTCATGATTTTGATGTTGACATTGCTGGAATTCTAGCTGGAACCATTCAGTGTTATTTTTGTGTGAAGAAATCTGATAGGAACTGGTTCTGGTGGTTTACCATTGCAATATGGGTATAAGAAATGTGACTCAAAAGCTCCTACTAATTACATATCATAGGTCAATATAACATCCATAGGACTTGCTTGCTTTTCTGCAACACTAGTTGAAAGTTGAAGTGACACTGACAACCAGCATACCAAAGTAAAAATGACTAATGCCTCAAGAGATTTTACCCTCACCTATATTCATCAGTTGAAACTGATGACTCTACTGATGCTGAATGTATGAAATTGCCCTTTTGATTCTTCCACTTTTTTCTACTGGTAATGTTTAAACAGAGTTGGGTTTTTTTATCTATAAATACATGTTTTCTCACATACTTTTCTACAACTTTCTTAGATTATGCCTTTGGTGTCTTCCATGGTTTGTCGAGCCACTTCCTATTTACGGAATTCATATTTTAATTATTTGCAAATGCTATTTATTACCAAGTTTAATTATTGTTATTGTCAGTCATATGACCCTGGTACCTTCACCCGTTCTCTTAAGTCTATACGAACCTCACTGATTTTGTGATTTGCAGGAACGAGTAGCATAGACTAATTGTTTGCAGCTTTAAATTGAAGTTACAAAACTGTTTTACAACTAGGACGTTGTTACTCGTCTTTCCAATATTTACAACATTATAGTTAACAGAAAAGTAGAGAGAGATCAAGGGTAACAACTCTAAATATAGGTAAACAGACCTAGGTCATCTCTCTTGGATAGCCTTTCGTTGTTAATTTAAAAATTTTGACTGGACTAGAAAAACTGCTATGTTCAAGTTAGAGACTTTAACAGTATTGCACTAACAAAAATTGCACTATGATGAGCCATTTTCTTTACTATGTTATGGTATCATACAAATATAAAGAAATTAGATCATGATGTTTAAGTAAAGAAAGCTGTTCCCAACTGATAGATTGAAATACCTACTTAATAAACTATTTGTAATAAAGTAGAGATTTTCCAAGCGTAGCTTAGATGTGGCACAAGGCCGAAAGTATGGGGCATCTAGTGAGGATCGAATTCACTTTTCAGTAGTAACTGATCTAGCAAGACAAGCTTGCTAACCATTACACCACGCCGAGGTGCCCGTATTTGTCATAAAGTAATCAATGTATTTATCAAATTACTGCTTTATCATTGGTTAAGAGTTTAATCTCTCTGATGTCAATTTAAATGCTTGATTTTCACACATTTGCAATCAACGTTTTATGATTTGGGCTACTGTGTGAGATTTTATAAGTCTGCATTAGCTTCTATACAATGTGCTCAAAAATTACAGCCTGAGCAAGAAGCCTTTCCTTTGAAAATTTGGTCAGATTTTGGGAAATGGATTTGAGTGAAGAACACCATTCATGTATAGGCAGCTAATTAAATAAGAAATTAATTTTAGGTGCTTATTACCAGTAGGACAATTCTTAACTATTTCAATAAGTAAATAAATTTTATTTGAAATTTTAGTGCATCAACAATTTATGTATAGATGTGACTGTGATATTCTTAAAGCCCTATTATAGTAATACAAACTTGCCCTAAAGCACAAAGAAATTTTAGTGTGTATAATATTTGATTAACAATCAAGTGCAATTCATTTATACATATCATCCTATAAGCTTTATCTGATGAGAATAAAGAAAAATATTAACAAAATGAACCACATATTGTTTCTTAAATATTGTTTATCCAAAAGCCATTTTTTTTCAGAGTTACTTTCATGTTATGAAGTTTGATAGGCAAGATTTCAAGAGAGAATTCATTCTAAGCCTTCATACAATTCTGAAATTTGTTAGAAAAGGAAGCAATGTCAAGAAATCAGGCTGAAACAGTAACCTAAATTTCATTTGAGGGTTTTTGTTCAAAGTAAAAAAAGAAAATGCTGATAATAATACCAAGTTAAATATAAAATAAACATTAAAAAGCAAAAATAACTAAAAAAAATAATGGAACAAATTCTAGTGATGCAAAGAAATCTTGTAGTGATTAGAACATTTAACCATTAATTCAATGATTCCTTTTGAGGATTCAAGTTCAAAAGTCATACTGAATAATAGACAATACTTCATCTCAGAAATTCAGATCCAACTACCTTTTCTTATATTACCATTTTCAGCGTAAAGTGTGTGTGTATATATATATATATATATATATATATATATATATATATATAGAGAGAGAGAGAGAGATAAAATATAGTTTTAAGGCATGTTATATTTATGGGTTAAGGTGCTCACTATCAGGTACACAGTGTATGCAAATATAAAAGTGATTTTGAAGTCAACACCCAGATGTGACAGTCTGTTTTATGCTAAACACAATATCAAAGCCATGTGCAATTGCATTTAGCATGAAACACTGTCATCTCTGCATGTTGACTTCAGTGTTCACTTATATATATATATATATATATATATGGCTATAAAAATTCCATCTCATTGTTCAGAACAATCAAAAATTAAAAGTTCCTGAAATATACCAAACATTTTGCTCATATTCTACATCTTACACTAATCAGCACAAAATGTAGACTATGATTATCAGTATTATGTTCAATATTTCAGCTGGTTAAAGTGATTGTTGATTCAGTAACAGTTACCATCTTTTAAGATTCAGTTTTCACATTTTATAATTTTCTCTAATGGACAAATATGTCAATGTCTAATCTGATACAACAGTAACATCTAAATGGTTCTTTTTTACACATGGTTAATATTTTAGACTAAGAACAAACTGCTATTTAAAAAAAATCCTTGTAGGTATTAAGAGAATTAAAGCATTTATATGGTTTAAACTTTAATCCACATATCACAGATAGTGACAATCTAAGGCCTCTAATAGCCAAAAAAAAAAAAAAAAAAAGAAAAAAAAAGTATTTCTAAAGATTAAGTGAAAAATTATTTAATTTATGAATGCTAAATCAAATTATATAATCTGTTTGATAAAAAAATAAAAAAAAATTAATTAATGAATAATATATTAAATAATTTTTTAAAGTTAAGTATACATACTACAATACAATGAAATATTGTATACATTTATGAATTTAATTTTACTGTTTTAATTAAACTTGAATTAAATTTCATATATACATTTTTTATATACATTTTGCTAGTATATCATTAAGCATTAACCTTTCTTAATCAGTATTATATTCAATAATTCAGCCAGTTAAGAATATTGTTGATTTGGGGTTGCTACCTACTTAGATTTCAGCTTGAGCCTATATTCTTTATTCTCATGTTGACTAGTGCCTCTCAAACTAACCAAACCATATACTTTGGCAAACTGTATATTATTTGTAATCTTGATTGATCACACTGAGTTGTATCAGCCAGAAATCTGAATTCAGTTAAAAAATCAAAATATTTACTAATTATTCACCTTTTTCAAATTAATCAATTTTTTTTTCCTTTTGAAAATATTACTGAGGTCTCACAATACCTGTAACCTGTAAAATCTGGTCACACTATAATAAATAATCTAAATCAGAAAACATTAATCTAAATCTCAAAGTATTGACAGCTTTCATAAACATTCTAAGCTGGAATAAAAATGTATACTGAGCTTTTTTTCAGCATTTTAATATTGAACAGGATGTATGTTAGCAGTAAGTTACATTATTCTGAATGAAGAGTAGATGGAATATGCAGAAGCTTCATTAAAGTCATAAAATTTACTAGGTTGTGAAAAGTTGAGATGGCTTGTGCGAATAATGACAGAACTGGTAGGAAATTTGTAAAAAGGAACTTGAATTTCTATAATGTAAGATGAATACTAACGAGAGAGAGAGGGTAAATTTAAATAATGATTGTTTTGATTAAGACTGTAGAGTAAGGAGACATCGATCTCAAATCAGAATCCGCTATAATTGAAAGAAAGCAGTAAAGTTTTCTATAGAAGCTGAAAGGAAATAACTGATTATTAAAAGTTTATTTGACATAGTCAAAGATAACTGGAAAACTAAGGTATAGTTTGGGTTAATGATTATGAAAGGCTTACTGTTAACTGGTCATTAAAAATTTGTAAGACAAATTAAAACAAGCATGATTGGTCAATAAAGTTGATCTGACAGTGTTGCAGAGGTTTCAAAATTGGAATAACATCGAGATAAGATTATGAATAATAATAGTACAGCAAAAATGGATGAGAGAAAAAAAAACGAAAGTTATGAATTCAGCAGCAAAAAGAGAAAAATTTGGAAAGTAACATCAAAACTAGTCACAAGATAAATAATCTGTAACACAAAAGCCTTGTTACAGCCAGACTAACAATGGCACATTTACAACTAATTTTGTGTGCGTGTGTGACTAAGTTGCAGAAGCATATCAAAGCAGAAATTGCTTAAATGCAACAAATATAAAGAAAAATGTTTTCTTTTGAATAAAAATTACAAAGAAAAATGTAAATTGGGAAGGGAGATTTGCTTGAAGTCATTTTCCGTGATGAAAGAGAACCAGAATTAAAATGTGTATATTTAAAATAAAGGACAAATTTATTAAAGCTCATGTGCATAGATTTATAAACAGTTAATTATGTGTGTCAATGTAAGTATTATTATAGCTTTTATGCAAGCAACCATGTAAATGTTTGAAAGAGTGCCTTATTCACTTTAAAAAGATATGAGGAGATATTTGTAAAGCTGTAACAATTTGTATATTAGCACATTGCTATACAGATGCTCATAGATATTTATTTAAATATATCTAAGTATATAAAAGATGCTTAGATATGGTGTTTATCAGGTTTTAATGTCTAATGAAAATGAAGCATGTGTGCAAATGTGGAAAAGGAAATGGGTGTGTGTGATTCAAAGGAGAGAATATCACAGGGTAAACTGGAGGGCTTCTTGTCAAAATGTTTGTTGATCAGCACCAAGAATGAATAAAGGTATGTGTGTATGCAAGAGAAATGTCTAAGTACATGTTTATGTATAGTGGACAAACTATTTGTATAATGGTAGGATAAATGCATGCAAAGAAAGAGATGCAGGAGGAAAGAGAGAGAAAGCTGGAGGGGGTTGATAGCAAGATAGAGGGGGTTGATAGCAAGATAGAGGGGGTTGATAGCAAGATAGAGGGGGTTGATAGCAAGATAGAGGGGGTTGATAGCAAGATAGAGGGGTTGATAGCAAGATAGAGGGGTTGATAGCAAGATAGGGGGGTTGATAGCAAGATAGAGGGGGTTGATAGCAAGATAGAGGGGTTGATAGCAAGATAGAGGGGGTTGATAGCAAGATAGAGGGGTTGATAAGATAGGGGGTTGATAGCAAGATAGAGGGGGGTTGATAGCAAGATAGAGAAGGTTGGGAGAGATCTAGGTGGAGGAGAGAAGGCCATGCAAGCAAGAGCAGGAGAGAGAAGGCCAAGATGTGATGGCAGGAGAGAGAAGGCCAGGGGGGGGAGGCAAGAAGGAAATGCTGGAGGTGTGACCAAGGGTAGGATAAAGGAGGTCAGAGAGCAGTACAAGAGAGAAAGGCCAAGGGGAAGGCAGAAGGAAGAAAATAAAGGGCCGAGGGCAGGAGGAAGAAGGCCAAGGGGCCGAGAGCAGGAGGGAGAGAGAGATGCAGGAGAGGAAGAGAAGATATTGCTAAGAGGAAAAGGACAAATGATAAAGAATGGTCTGCAAGCAAAAACTAGGAGAAACATGAAGAAAGGTGTACAATGAGTTTATGATAAAGAATTTAAAAAACAAAAATGAAAGGAAGAGAGAGAGAAAAAAAATGTGTCAAAAGAAAAAAAAAAGATCTAAATTTCCATGACAGTAATGAGGAGGTGGAAAGGGCACTAATTCTGGTAAATGTTTATGCATAAGATAATCACATTTTCATACTGTACTAAAAGTTATTTGAGTATACAGGTACATCTAAGAGAAAGAAAGAGAGAATAGAAATTAATCCCAAAATAAATCATGGCCTGGGGAAGAGCAAAAGATGCTGAGATGTTGACACATTGAGAAGCTGCACACTGCATGCACACGCTGGCAGCCAGATGGCCCACACACATCACCTGGACGGACAACTGCTAAAAGCCAGACTGGCCACTTTGACTGGTGCCAATACTCAATGAAGAAATGCCACTCTGAAAAGACTGTAAGCTGCTCATGGACCCTCTGAAAAAAAAAAAAAAAAAAAAAGTAGTTTAATAAATTTTTTCATGAATTCAGTAATGTTTATATCCACAACCACTTGATTAAACAACACCTATAGTCATTATAGACCCGAAAGAACATTGTGCCATATTTTTGAATGAACACAAACAAGCAACACAGTAACAAAATAACACAATCAACATATATAAGATATCCCTTATCAGACAAAGTAATGGACGTCTGATAATGACTAAAGAGTCCTTGGCTGAAACAGTCTCTATATAATCACAGTTGTAGTTTTAATGAAACAAGATACATTACACTACCTACCAACTCTATCACGACTATATTTGAAAAGAATTTATCTAAACTTAACATAAAATTTCTTACAACTACAGGGTGATTGATAAGTAATTCCTTACTTTACGTATGATGGACTCCCCCATCTAACTATAATTTTTACAAGATGGGAGAGTCCATCATACATAAAATAGGGAGTTACTTTTCAATCACCCTGCAACTTCTAATACAATAAGAAACTTAATTAAAATAAAACCAAAGAATAAGAACTTAAAACAGGAATTTACTGTAATGATTGTCACAAGGAATACATAGAAGAAACCTCAAGGAATTTAAAAGAGATCTGTTACAAAACAACATACTCAGAGCATTAGTTGTTCATCATAAGAAATATGAACATAATTTTCAAGTAAAAACAACAAAAAAAAAAAAAATGCAACTTCAATTAAAACAGAAAGCAATTTACTAAGGTAAGTATAGAAAGTGCACTGTTTGCTAAATCACCTATAGTAAATTTACATCCAGGTTCTTACAACATTTCACCTTTCTTGGTAGGTTTTCTGTTGTCACAACATGGGATATTAAAAAATAATAGTGTAGGGAAACTGAATGAGGTTGGTTAGGCTATATGTCCAGATATGTCTAATAAAATATATATATATATATATATATATATATATTTAAAGACTTAATGGATTTATTTTTTAATCAGTCATTTTTATTACTTCAAAAGTTATTTTTAATGGATACCCATGTTTGAAATAGACCCCATATTTTTATTCTAAACATAAAAATAACGTTTGAAGTAATAAAGTGTGTGTGTGTAAACTTAAACATTTTAAAACCCCAAAACTTAAAATTTACTGTTCTCACATCTTCAGCAATTCTCAATGCATAATTATAATCAATGTTTACCCTTACATTTCTCCCTCCCCAATACATATATAACCCCATCAATAAGAGCATTACTTTAGTCTGATGAAGCCCTTTTAGAGGATGAAACGTGTTATGCAGAATTTTCAACTTTGTCCTTCAATTGCCTAAAATAGTTCAGATATATAGAAATTAATGGGATAAACAATATGTAATTTTTTTTATATACATATATCAAGAACAATTTTAAGAGAAAGAAGTATGACAAACTGGAAAAAGTTTTCATGTCACATATTTTATCCTTTAGGACTGCATTGGACTAAGTTTATATTTATGTTGATGTGACTACACAATACACATGTGCCTGAATGAGAGACACTGGCAATTTTAGATTTATAAATAATTTTCTTTTTTTTTGTGTGTGTGTGGGGGGGGGGAGGGTATATAAGCTAGCCAATTTCATTTAGATTTTTTTCTTTTTGTTTGCATCACACATTGTGATAATAGAAGATCTGCCAAGAATGGTGAAACAATGTAAGAACATGGGCACAAATTAACTGTGGATGATGACCTAGTGATTAAAGCACTTTCTAAACATTTTCATCTTAGTAAATGGTTTTCTCTTAATTAGAATAGCATTATTTTTTTAAATCAAAAATTAAATCAAAATGACAGTGCACCCCACAAACTGGTGAAAGCCATAAAAATTTTAACCCCTCTCTTTAGAACAATCAGTCTATCACATAAAAAATTCAGGCAACCTAGTTGAAATAAAAAAGGGATACAAATATGACTGACAAACTCATGGCCAATCTAGATATAAAATCCCTTTACACCATGTTATGGCTTTAAATAACCCACAAAGGATTGATAAACTGTAAAATACAAATCAAATAATCAATTCCAGATAAGAATATAATGTTGTCTATATGTTGCTTTAAATTCTTACTGTAATTTTGCATCTGTTTTCACGTTATTGTCATCATCATAGAGAGAAGAGAGAGAAGGTAATGCTGAAACGTCAAAACATTTTACAATGATGTTCCCTCTGTACAAGACCCAAGAGCCACTAGAGGTAGAGGGTTACCGAATAAGAGACACCATTGTCTCAGCTAGCAAAGGCTTACATCTTTTTTTAAAAAAGTGTCTAACACAAAGATAAACTTCTCCCTACTAAAAGTTAAATTAATAAAAATCTGCTATCATCACCAATCAATGCTATTTCACATTTAACAATTTTTATAAACAAAAATTTGGATTACCAATAGTATCATCCCTCAGTGGAGGGATTGCATGTATTTTCTTAGAATTTCTCAAATCTGGTCCTTTCCAAAGTATTTTATCTAAACAATTAGCAATGGCAATATAAAAAATAAATTTTGTCTGTTTATGGTATTTATTATATATCTTTTTTTTTAAGATCATGTAAGTTTTTTTTTAATTTTTTTTTTAACATTTTTGATGAATGATTTGTTGAACAGAAACCACAGGCAAATAAAGAAACAATAAGAGCTGATAGTGGACAAAAAATACTATGTAATAATTAAAGTGTCTATACTCACTTGAATGCTTCAGATTTTAATAGTTCTGTGTAGTACATGACTTTAGATTTATGTGAAGAGAGTGGGAAGTCAAATGAAGGTTTAGCAGAGTCAAAATATTTCCACTGTAAAATGTAACTGCCAGTTTGACTGGTCACTATTGATCCCTGCAGAAAAAGAAAATATCACAAAGAAGTTTGAAAAAAAAAAAAAAAAAAAGAATTAATTAGAGAGAATTCTTCTGTGTACTTAGACTACAATTATTTTATTGAACTAATACTCCTGTATCCAAAATAAATCAGAATTAAATATTTTATATACTTTATATATATATATATATATATATACACACACACAAATGTAAAAGAATGAAGAGTAACATTTCAGCGTTCAAAACATTAATTTAAAACAGGGCTCAATACAAGAGTACAGCAATAAATATTTATTTATTATGCAGTGTTATATTAGATCATGCACATACCCACTACAAAACTACATCTTGTTTCAATGTTAAACTATATATATATATATATATATATATATATATATTGTATATACTATACAACATTTAATCAGAAGTTGAATTTAGGTTCAAAACATTTATTTATATGCAGTCCTATTGTAATCTTTATATAAGCTCAAGTGTTAGTGAGAAATGTATTGTAGAATGTAAGGTGAACCCATTGGATTGTGAAGACACACATTAATCAACTAATGACTGAAGCTGATCAATAAAATATCTTTATTTCAGAGGCAGAATACATGAACTTTGTTTGATATTAACTAAAAATTATTACAAGACTGATCCTGTTTATAACAAGAAAACTTTAAATTTAAAGAACTAAATGGTGTGCTACCAATTTGTACTAGTCTATAATTATCAATTCTGAACACTTTTTAAAATATTTCTATATATATTCAATGCCTTCAGATTAACTATATTTAAGTTATTCTTGAAAATGATGCTATCATCCTGATCCTGTTATTTTGCTGTAGTATTTTCACAAGTATGCATATTACAAATGATTTGTAGCTGAGTTGAAATAAATGATTGCATGAGTTTGAATTGTAATGTGAAAATGATACTCACCTGTACACTATCCCCATCCCGACATATATGGGGTGGTTCCACAATGCTTAGATCGACACCAACTACCAAAGATTTATCTGTATACTGTACTGAACCAATACCACCAGTGGCCCCAGTAACATGATGAGTGTGAATTGGTTCATGAAGAGTCTTCAGGCAACGGAACACTGTGAATGTAACATCTCCTTTCAAGATGTCAAAATCCCAAGTGATTACAGAGCTCTTCTGGGGCACTTGGATCAGCACCTAAAAAAATCAATAAAGAACAATATAAAAAAATTTGACAGTAAATATAGCCAATCAGTATCACTGAGAGGCATGTAATATTGATAATCCTTTTTTTGGGGGGTGGGGGTGAGAGTATTATTTGTTAGTCCCAATCAATAGCTGAGAGGGAGAGAAAGAGATAACCTTGGATTTTTTTTTCTAGACAAATAAAAACTAAATTCCTGGTGTTCATTTAGCATTAGTAATTTGACAATTTCAATTTAGAAAATGAAAACATCTCAACCTTTTCCCAAACTGTCAGTCTTTTTTTTTTATCCATTCACACCAAACAAGGTGATAAAACAGCTTACTAAGAGGACAATAAAAGAATGAGATACAAGGAGACAGAAGATGATTATTTAAAAGATGATGACTTTAAATTTTTGAAGATTGTAGTTGACAGAAAAACAAAGAAACAGAGCCAGAAGAGAGTTCCGCAATTCCACAAAAAATGCAGAAGAAACTATTAGCATAGTACTTACAGTTACATCTAGCAATTTCAACAGTGAAATTATGAAACCTAACTGCCAATCTAGTACTGAGCTTAAATTTGTGAAGTTCAAGTACCAAAAAGAAAAGAGAATAATTGCCATGAAAATACATAAATATTTTCATGACAATTATTCTCTTTTCTCTTTGGTACTTTAACAGTACAGGAAAGCTATGTTATGGCAGTGGAAAAGTTATTGAAGCCAAGATGCCAGGTCAGGATTGATAGTATTGCAGATTCTTCTTTGTATTTTATCAAGAATCTTTAAATACATAGCAGAAGCACCAAACCAGATGTGGCAACAATATCCAATGCATGAACTAAAGGTAGACTTATAAATGTGCAAGATAGATTCTGGCGAAAAAAATTTCTCTAGCACAACATAGTGAACAAAATTACCTAGAAACAGATCTAGCAATTGATTCAATATAATCATTCAAATTCATGTCTGTAGAAAATTTAAAATCAAGCTGTATCAGTCAAGTTGTCAGATGTATTAATGAAAAAAAATGACTGTGCTTTTTGAATCTTTTTCCATTAAGAAAAAGAGAATTCATTTTTTTCTTTTTAAACTTTTTAAATTTTCATACTTTAAAATTATAGATTTTTGCTTTTGGTGGGATAACTGAAAAACATCAAAGTTTGATTTCTTTGCAAAAGAACTGAACAAAAAAAACTTTGTTATCTCTTATAAATTAAAAGAAAAAAAATAGGAAAATTATAAATTTACTTATAAGCAACAAAGTATTAAACTTATTTTGTTGCTCATAAGTAAATTTATAATTTTAGTATTGAATTTATTATGGTCATATGGCTGAGTGGTGAGAATGTTCACTTTCTGACCAAGAGACCTGGGTTTAAATTTCCCCGATTTGTCAAGAAGTTGACTTCTTGATGTTATTGGTCTAGGGAGATGATCCCAACATGCGGCACTTTTACAAAGTGCCTGAAAACCATACCACAGGCTGACTCGAGCCTTATGAATGAAATTGGGTAGACGGGACTATTCAGAAGCTGTCAATGGTTGTACTAGCATGAAGTAACAAGTCATCGTGACCAAGATTTTGAGTGTGCTAGCCTTGTTCAGAATGTTAGCATAGTTGCAGCATAAACTACAGTTGGGCTCTGTGGGTGTTGAACAAACACAAAAGTGCCTGAGCAAGCGTCTGCAACAGGGATTGGCTAACTGCCCTAGTAGACAGGTATACTTGGATATGAGTGGTCAGCCATTATATTAAACTTGTATTTTAAAATTTTGAAAAGTTCTAGGCGTGATCAAGAAACCTTTTGAAAAGTTTGATTTTTGAAATTGGGTTGGACCAAAACCTCAGCAGTCATATTATAATAAAATAGATCCTTATTTTGTACAAATTTGTTAAAAATCAGTGAAAACATCCATTAATTGGAGGAATTGAAAAATGCCTTGACTGCATATAGTTCTAGCAAAATTGTAAAAAGTTGCAGTACCTTGGTTTCCTTGTCATCTTGCTTCTAAGTTTAAACTAGAGATTGACACTAAATTTTCAATACTTAAGGTTTAAAATGAATTTTAAAAAATGAAAAAACATTCTTGAAGCTTTCATCTTAGCTTTAATTGAAAGCTGAGTTATTAAATTTACTATTTCCAGTAAGCAAAATACTCTGGTGTATTTCAAATAGAAATTATATTAATTGGAATCTCAACTTTTTGGTCACTTTCAGAAAATTGATAAATATGAGCCATTTTGACACAAACAAAAGTTAATTCGAATTTTTAAAAATCTTCCAAAAATAAAATATGTGACATGTTATTTGATGAAAATCAACAAGTTTAAAGATAAATTAATCTGATTTGAAACAAATATTACTTACTTATAGTATACAAGTATTTCTTAACCAGTGTTTTGTTTTTCTGATGCGTTGATTGATTGATTAACAGCCTAACATGTTGAAAAGCTAAGTATGGTTGACCAGAAATTGACATAAATTTACAAAATCTAAGTGAATGTTTTGTTTTTGGTTTTTAACTACATAGTAATTTTTAAAAATGAACATATCTTCAGCAATTATCTAATATTTTACTGAATTTTAGTTACTTTAGCTTTAAAACCTTATGTTTTTATGAAAATAACTCTCACAAAAAAGAATAAACTTTAAAAAAGTAAAAAGTAAAAAACTACTAACAAAAAAAAAAACATTTTTTATGAAATAAAGTAAAAATAATTTGAAAGGAAATTTCATAATGACACACAAATTTAAAAAAAAGAACTTCAAATAGAAATTGAATAAGAAAAATTTAGTTTAAAGGTTATTTAATTGAAGTATGACCCACACTAAAACAAATACATAAAATAAAGATATTTAGTGAAATACGAATTAAGAAAAGTAAAAATTACTTTAAATTTTAAAGTTTAAAATTTTGAAGCCTGCTGAGACATAAACACAATAAAACACAGAAATGGATAATGAAAGAATTGCAGATGGACAAATTTTTCAGGGAAAACAACTATTAAAACATGTGATGGACTCCCATACTTACGAAAATGGGAATGTTTCTACACTAAAAAAATTTAAATTATTTTTAATATCTTGGTGCAAAATGACTTATTAAGCTTTTCAATTTTTGATTTGTAAATATAGTTTTCACTTAATAACCATATGGATTAACTGGATTAAAGTAATGCAAAATTTTAAACAATTTAAATTTTTATAATTAGAATTTTTAAAAAAATAAAACAATTCATGAAAAATTCATTATTCATCAAAGAAAAAAAAATTTTCTTAAGACAATAGAGTACTTAATAAATCTTATTTATAAAAGCAATTAAAAACTTTTCTAATAATATCATAATTTTATTGCATTTTTCATTTTATGATTTGGAGTAGATTTTAAGGAAATTAGTAGTTTGGAAAAAAATGATTGATTTATATTGTCCAAGGAGAACTGCTTTTAACTGATAAAAAACAATTTTAAGATTGAAATTTAATTTCTTGATATTTTATGAAGTATGGGGGGGGAATGGGTAACAAGTAAAAAAAAAAAAATTTTTTACCAAGATTTTCTAAAAAAAAAAATTAAAAAATAAGATTTATTCTGAAATTTCATTAAAATCCAACAATTATTTGATTTTTGCAGGAATTTCTAACTGAAAAAAAAAAAAAAAGTCACTAAAAACTAATCAATTACTAATATTTTCCTATTGGTTTTGTTATTCCTTGTTTTAAATTACCTCATGTGGATACTCCTTGACGACATGTGCTGTCTGGTAGATGCTGTCAGTGGTAAGGGAAGGTTCATCTGGAGACTTATCCATTTCTTCATCTTTCATATAGAGAGATTTCGGTACAGCACCTCCATCAGGTACATGACACTGGAACATTGGAAATACATTCATTATTCAAAATATAATGAACATTTGTCATAGAAATTTAAATTAAACAAAACTATCTATTACTCCACCATTAGTATTATCATTTAATTTTAGAATTTTACAATATTTATAAAAATATTGTGATATATATATATATATATATATTATTTATTTAAAAATTATAACATAAATATGTTATAAGATCACTACAAAAATAGCCATTTTGTTTCAACACCTCTGGTGTCTTATCAAGTGATGATACTGAATATATATTGTAGAAAAATGAATAATTATACATGTACATACATATGTACAAATATTTTTATGTATGCATACTGTATATGCACTGTATGTATTAACTCTCACACAGACTCACTAGAAAAAAATTCACTGTTAATAACTAATTCCCAAATTGTCCCCTATAAAAATCAAATTCCCTCATGTTGGGAACCATGGGGTAGACTCTTCCCATTTCACTGCTCATGTCTAGGGATATGTCATCTAGTTCTTATTTTTAGTACTGTTCAGTTATTGCTTGCCCTGTTTCCACTGAATCCAAGTACACACATGGATTGAACTCACAATTACCACCAAATTTATAAACCAATGCTTTAATCCACAGGGCTATTGTCCCATAGATTAGCAGTAATAAAAATAAGAACTAGATGAGATATCTCTAAACATGGGCAGTGGAACAAGAACAGTCTATTCCATAGATTAAATAACAGGTTCAGTTCAGAATTCCTTGTAGGTTATCTGGATCAATATACACCTGATGAAAGCCAACAGCAGAAACGTGATAACATTTTGTCTGTGGGAGTAATGTTAACAAGGTAAATATAGAAAGATTAATTTCTTTAAGTGATTTAAAGAGTTGATATTGTGAGAGTGAGAACCTGTGAACAAGAGGAGAACCAAGCTTATTGATTTTAATATTATGAAAGCGATAACAAGTTTGGTCATCACCAGTTATTTTGGGGGAATTTGAATGAACAAATTTCTGTGTTATTTGCAGTGACAAGTTTGATATAGTTGTTTTAATTGGATGATTATGTTTAAATCTTTATTTTTTTAATTCTATCTAATTGTTTCTAATAGGCTTGTTCATGTCCTGTGATGACGAGATGCCCCCCTCCCTCTACCAGAGTCATCTACCAATTTGACCCACTATCTTCAAACTGATGACAACCTCACAGCAGACCATGCAGTCAATGAAAGGATATCATCATCCAGGACCTCCAGCAGATTAATCTGGTACTAGAAGATGTTCTTATGGATGCTCTGTTAAGACTGTGAGAGATGGTGGAAAAGGTGGCTCTCATGTCATATTTAACAGCAGTATCTAATTTCTTTCTTGATAATGACTAAAGCCATTTGAAAGTTTGGAACCTCAGAAAGAATTAACACAAACTGGACAATTCTTTTATACATTCAACACCAAGTTATAGAAACTAATCCACCAATAAGAAAAACTGATATATAAAATCTGATGTTTGGTAATTTGCTCATATTTTTGGAAGAGTCAATCTGAGGACTTTTCACCATGCTCTTCATTAAGCATATTACACACACAAAAAAGGTTTTAGCAACAATATTTCATTGGTAAAAGATCCCAACTTAAGAAACTCATAGATCTTTAGTATCGACAATATTTTGAAAATGTTTGTTTTGTATGAGACTTTAAAGGACTTAAGTTTTAATAAATACTGATTTTCAATGTTCCAATTTTTGGAAGCATGTAAATTATTCTCACAAAAAAAAGTTTTATAAATAGTTGAAAAGGAAAAGAAAAGAGGAAAAAGGAAAAGAAAAGAGGAAAAAGGAAAAGAAAAGAGGAAAAAGGAAAAGAAAAGAGAAAAAAGGAAAAGAAAAGAGAAAAAAGGAAAAGAAAAGAGAAAAAAGGAAGAAAAAAAGAGAAAAAAGAGGAAAAAGGAAGGAAAAAGAAAAAAGAGGAAAAAGGAAGGAAAAAGAGAAAAAAGAGGGGAAAAAGAGGGGAAAGAGAGGGGAAAAAGAGAAAAAATAAGGGAAAAAGAACAGGGGAAAAGAAAGAAAAGGAACGCAGGAAAAGAAAGAAAAGGAACGCAGGAAAAGAAAGAAAAGGAACGCAGGAAAAGAAAGAAAAGGCGAAAAATGAACGGGGGGAGGAAATAAAGGGGGAAAAGAACGAGAGAAAAAGAAAAAGGAAAGAAAAAGGGAAAAAAGGAGAAAAAGAAAAAGGAAAGAAAAAGGGAAAAAAGAAGAAAAGAAAAAGGGAAAAAAAAGGGAAAAAGAAGAAAAGAAAAAGGAAAAAGGAAAAGAAGAAAAGAAAAAAAAGGAAAAAAGAAGAAAGAAAAAGGGAAAAAGGGGAAAAGAAGAAAAGAAAAAGGGAAAAAGAAGAAAGAAAAAAAGGAAAATGGAAAAAGGGGAAAAAGAAGAAAAGAAAAAGGGAAAAAAGGGGAAAAAGGGGAAAAGAAAAGAAAAAGGGAAAAAAGGGGAAAAAGAAAAGAAAAAGGGAAAAAAGGGGAAAAAGAAAAGAAAAAGGGAAAAAAGGGGAAAAAGAAAAGAAAAGGGAAAAAAGGGGAAAAAGAAAAGAAAAAGGGAAAAAAGGGGAAAAAGAAAAGAAAAAGGGAAAAAGGGGAAAAGAAAAGAAAAGAAAAAAAGGAAAAGAAAAGAAAAAGAAAAAAGGGAAAAAAAAAAAAAAGAGAAAAAAGGGAAAAAGAAAAGAAAAAGAGAAAAAAGGGAAAAAGAAAAGAAAAAGAGAAAAAAGGGAAAAAGAAAAGAAAAAGAAAAAAGGGGAAAAAAGAAGAAAAAGAGAAAAAAGGGGAAAAAAGAAGAAAAAGAGAAAAAAGGGGAAAAAGGGGAAAAAAGAAGAAAAAGAGAAAAAAGGGGAAAAAAGAAGTAAAAGAAAAAAGCAATAAAATAAGAAAAATAAAGACAATGAAATTAAAAAAAAATGGAACTCATGAAAAGAAAGTAGGGGTGGCATTTTCATAAACATTATGCAGAAAAAAAAAGCCAAACAAAAGGAGAAAAGGTAAAAGAAGCATTCTGACAGACATAAAATGTAAAATTCAAACATATAGCAACTTGAAAAAAAAAAAAAAAAAAAACATGAAATAAGTTTTGAATAAAACAATTTATCAGGATCTCACATGAGCAATATCAAATATTATTCCTAAAAATGAAAACTGCTGAACAAGGATTTTGAAAATTTAAAACAATTTGATTCACAATCTTCACTGACACAATTTTCAGAAAGGAAAATGACCAACCATAGCCCTTTGTTAATATGGCTCAGTGACAAGAGTATAAAGTTGATACCTAAACAATCTGAAATTCCTTTATGGAGTTCAGTGCCACACTCTCAAATGTTTTTTATTGGGAGATGATAGATAAGCTACAAACTTAATCAAGTAAATACAAAAGCATATTATAGATGTTTCTTCCATTATAGTAATAGTTGTGATACTGAAAAAAAAAATAAAGACTGTTCTATGGGTGATTGTTTTATTTGAATATAAAAGGAAGGAAGAAGGATCCATGTAGTGTGACTACTTCACATGCATGCCTTGGTCAAATCCACATCAGCACCTAGTGACACAAACTTCAGGTTTTTTCTTTAATCATGTCATATGAACAAATATAAGAGAGATGTCCTTTGGTCACGTCAGTCATGGCTTTCTTTGATGATGCCATATTGCTGAATCAGTTACTTATTTTGTAATATTTATTTATTATCAACCGAAATGTTACTGGTGATTTTTATAATTTGAATTAAAAAAATAAATAACACAGATGAATATTTATAAAAATATGCTTTTAAAAATTGTTATTTAAATTAAATATTACTGCTTATGTTGTAAATGTTAGTAATATCATTTATATATATATATATATATATATATATAAAATTTGTTTTTTTAAAAATGGAAAAATTTACTTACTATAAATTAATATATCTGTATTTGAATTATTATTATTCTCCCAACTATACAGTTTTGTGGTTCATGTCCACTTTTCAAGGGTTTTTTTTTTATATAAGTGGCAGTTTTTTTTATTATTTGCATTTTTTTGACTTTTAGTGACACATGCATGCTGACGTTCACTCGCATGTCCATAAATGCAAATTCTTCAGAGTATACTTCCAATACGCAAATGTAACACATGCGTATATGTTCGAGCTCACTCATAAATGCATCATTTCTAATGTAATTGTTTTTTTAGTGTATATTTTTCCACTGCATATTTTTTAACTATTATATATTATTTTTTTTGTATTTTCATAATTATTACTTTTCATAGTTTTTATATATAATCAAAATTAGATATTAAAATTTCTAAAAATTATATTATGTTGGTGTTTACATTATAAAGTAGATATTTGTTAAAATGTCTACATTTCCCCATTAATTCATTTCTTTTGTTTAATAATTTGATTTTATTGTTAAAATTTATTATGTATAATTTTTCTTCTAGGCATAATTTACATATTCTATTTTTAATATTATTTGGAGGTATATATATATATATATATATATATATATATATATATATATATATATATATATATATATATATATATATATATATATATATATATTATATATATATATGGTTCAATCCTTCCCAGTCTCTTGAAGGTTTATCCCTTGTTTAAGATTGTGTTTCTGATTCCTTCTCCTAAAGTTTTATTTTCTTTTACCCCCAGTAACCTCTTGCATCTTAGTGGCATTATTGACTTGCTTGGGGTGAAATGATTATATATATATTTATTTATTTTTAAATAAATTCCTCGTGAACAGTGGGCAACAAAAACTAAATTTAAGGTGTTCTCATATAATCATCAGGTAATCAACCTCCAGTGTGCCTTTGTAGCAAATTCCCTTGGCAGTTGCTTATTATATCTAAATTATATAGACATACATATATATGTGTGGCACAATAAATCCAGAATTTTTATGTAGCAACAGTGCTGTGACATTGCAGCATAGTGAGGTTTTAAGAGTGCCATTAGAAAGTACTAGACCTCAGTAGCTGTCTGGCCAATGACACACAAAGTGCTTAGTAATCAACATGTGTTCAGAAAATGATTGTTGAGCAGCAGTTGTAGTGAGCCTTCATATTGCCCACAAAACCAAGGAAATCATTAAATGGTTTAAATACCCTAAAACTATGGACAATGACCTTGCATGTGGGACCTCAGATGACAAGGACAATTTCAGGCCAGAACACAAGACTCATAAAATGTGCTCTGGCGCCACCATGATGCCCAAGTTTGTCACCAACATTTCTGAGGTTGTCAAGGAGATTTATAAATTAAGTTCAGACAAATTTGATATTTTGAGATGTCGGGGTTAAGGAAAATTCCATCTTTTTTATTTTAGGGGTATTAAGATTTAACTTATAAAAAGTTATTCTTAGCATCGCTTGATAATGGAATGGAACTTTGTATTTTAAGTTTAATTTTTATGATTGAATTTGAATTGAAGTTTCAGTTTTGAAACATGGGAATTCCAGTGTTGTGATGGTTATATATATATATATATATATATATATATATATAATATATAAGAAGACTGATAGCAAATACAGTATATGTTAGTGGTAGAGACTAGGCAGTTTGTTCTACTAATGTAAGGTGGGGACTCACAAACAAAATTTAGCCTTATGCAAATTTTTAAAAATCATTATCATCCATGCATAATATTTTAATCCTGAATGAGACAAATTTCGCTTGAAAGTCAGTAAAGGAAAAATCTCATGCACAAAATACAAAATTATTGATATTTTGTAGAATCACTTTTTAAAGAATGAATCTATCAAGTCGGAAATGGAGTTATTTGCCATTTCTAAAAACAAAAGGGGAAAATGATATATAAATTTTTATGTCATGAGCAATTTTAGAAAAATCTATGAAAAATTCAAAAAGTTTCTTGTGTGACGTGTTTTGTCCTTTAGAGGTTCATTGGACCAAAATGATGTTTATATTGAGGTGATTACACATATGCAGGAAGGAAGGGGAGAGACGCTGAAATGGCAATGAAAAAAAAAAAAAAAACAATAAGCAAAAATAATGCAATAATAGTAACAAAAACATTATTAAAATACTAAAAAATAAATAATTCTGTAATTTCCCTTATAGATATTGCCCATTTTATTAGTAGTTAGAGTAGTCTCTATTCAGATTTATATTAAAAAAAAAAAAAAGAAAAAAACTTCTTATTTCAATAAATTGCAAACTGGTTAATGAAAGTATTGAATAGAATGAATTTTCTTGGGTTCTAGAAATTAACATTTTCTAAATGAGCACATATGATAATCAAACCATTTAATGGCAGCCAGATAGAGTTGTTTTAGTCATTTCATTATCATCTAATAATAGGACTACATAATGATTTTAGTAAAAACAGATGAAGACTTTAAAGAAGTACCAGATAGAATATTAGTATACAAATCAAACACAGATGTGACGGGAAGAAAGAGGGATAGCCATTATTTTATGTCTGTATTCCATCAAATATTACTGACCCATCCAAAGTATGGGGTAACATTTTTATGCTCTTGCTTGAGCAGTGAGGTTTATTTGTATAGCAACATATCAATTCCTTATGGGTCATTTAATGCTGAAATTTAATTTTCTTGGGAGCATTAGTAATTTCTTTACAAAAATGTATTTCTGGTATTTTTACTATAAAAATGTATTTTTATACTTTCATAGTGTTTTAACCCTAGTTTTGAGGTTAACTAATTCCCTATAGTTGGCACCTTAACAGGTGCTACCACCTTGGGTCAGAGTAGACCTGGGAACAATATCAATTTAGAGAGGTTTTCATGATCCTCAAAACCTCCTGATCAGAGGCCTTGCTGCCAGATGTAGTTTATCATCATACCCAGGACACAAGCAGTAAGGTAGAAAGAGAGAATGATTTGCTCATCTTCTTTATCAACCATCTTAGCATATTAGTGCTATTTTGTGAAGATATCTAGTAATGGGATATAGTGCAAGGTAAAGAAGATTCATGCCTTTCTCAAAGGACATTACTTAAAGTGAACATAAAAAAAGCATAAAAAATAAAATTTGAATCAAGTTAGATTTCCTTTTTTGTATTAGTAATCATTATTCCACCTTCCACATCAAATAAATACTTTATTTTTGGCAGCTATATTGAAGGGAAAGATTTAAAGAAAGAACAGTAAATGTCACTTTTTTATTGTTAGCTACATAGAATATCAGGATGCTACAAGCAGGGAAGGAAAATCTACAAGGAACACAATGCTATAATGGGAAATAGCAAACAGATGCCATGCCACAAACTTTAATTGTTGCAGTTTTATTACCACATGACCATAAAATGGCAAGAGGAAATATCTTGAATTATTGCAATCACCACAAAAAAAAAAAAAAAAAAAAAAAACAAAACATAATGGAAATATTTTGGGTTGGAACAAAAGTTCATGGCATTTTTTTCAAAATGTGGTATTTGAACATATTGTTTCGTTTCACAAGTGACTGAAATTCATTATATATATATATATATATATATATATATATATATATATATATATATATATATATTTTGCCAGCATGTTTTCATTGAGACATGTTTCATTAAATAAATACTCCACTAAATCTAATTCAATCATACTCTCTTCCACCAACTAATGTGTTGCAGGAAACCATCATAGTATATAAATTTAAATGTTCTCTGGGAGATTGTATCTCCAATAGAAAAGATAATACTTATGTTGGCCACACTATGACCATGTCGTCTCAATGGCTGAGTTTTCATTTGAATGATGCATTCAACATTCCTAAACATTTACAAAAGCATACCTGTCCTCATTTGCAATTCAAAAAAATTCTTGTTTAAAATACATCTATATTTTCCATGAAAATAAGCTAAAAATTCTTGAAGCTATCTATATTAAAAAATTGAAGCCAAAGCTTAATAAAGTTAATTATGAATACTGCACAAATGTTTTAAAATGTTTACATTAGATAGTTTAAAATATCGAGATTTGCACTAATAGTTTTAATATTTACTTCTTAAAAAAAACTTTCGACAGCACTATAACTAAGTTACCACCCCTGAAGCATTACTCAAACCAATCACACAGCACTCAACTCAGTGTTCTTCACTTCACAAGTAAAAAATTTTAACTTTCAAGATGAACACAGCAATTTTGTCTTTGAAAATGATGAACACTACAATATTTGTCTTGAAGTAAACAGCACCCTGATGATGACATTCTGCTAATGCTGAAAGTACTTGGAATAAAATAATATGTATCAACATGGTAATTTTCTCTCTTCCTTTAATAATGACACCAAAAAGCTTGTCTGTGAATATAAAAGGATCCGATTGAAAATAAGTAGACAAAACTTGTTTAAATTATTCAATGAAACATGTCTCTCTCTCTCTCCATATACATTATATATTTGGAAAGCTGGCAATTCAGTGTATCTTTATACAATATGTGTGGATTGTGAATTTTATGTTTTATGCCAAAGGGAAAATGAGATACATTTTTGTGATTTGATGCTCTTATTTCCACTGAGGAAAAAACATTATATAAACAGCAAAAAAGATACCTGCCATTGATGGAGATGGTGCAATAGCTGAGAGTATTGTTTGAAAGTGGTTCACTAGGTTCAGAAGTGAGAATTATGATCTCGCAAACCAAGAACATCACAGCAAGCTTTCAGTTGTCCAATCAGAAGAATGCTGTTTTCCATCAGGATGATACAAGACCTCACATTTCTTGGCAGACCCGGCAGAAATTGGTACAGTTTGGCCGAGATATCCTACAAAACACACCTACTTCCACCTTCAGATTACCACTTATTTTGATCCCTAAAAACTTCTCTTAATGGGAAGACATCAATTCTCTAGATACCTGCAAAAGCTGCTTAAAAAAATTCATCAACCAGAAAGATGCCAATTTCTGGGAGGATGGAATCATGAAGCTGCTTCAAAAATGGTGAAAGATAATGGAGCCAAATGGCACATATGTGATTGGATAAATCTATGTACAAATATCTAAAACTTTTGTTCTAACCATATTTCTCTCCTGATATGAGATGACACCTTTCCAATTAGTCAATTCTTGATGCTTTTCATTGATTGCTACCTTTAATCAATCTGACTGGAAAGTGGTCTGAATTCAACATCTGATTTTACAGAAGGAACTCATAAAACATAATACCCTTCCAGTTCCACCAGATACACAGCATCACTTTTGGATACAGTTTTGAGTGGTTAACAGTGGCTTATTTTGTTTTCCTAGGACATTTTTACTCCATATTGTAAATAATCCATCTTTTATCACCTGTGATTTCACTTTTGAAAAATAGATTATTTTTGTTATGTTTGGGCAGAGAATCACAGATGGAAATGCACCCCATTAAATGTTTTTCTATTAAATAGTGAAGCAACCAAATATTATACAGGTTGTTCAGGCTAAATTTGACAGTTTTTTGTTTTTTTTTAATGGAAAACAAATGAATATCTGAGCTAAAAACCAATTTATTGGAAAAATAGAAAAGTGGCATACAAGTTATACTAATCAAAAAGACAATTCATCTAAAGAAGCCACCCTCAGCATCTACTGCAACCTTGATCCAACTCCAGAATCTGGGACATGCAGCCTTCACAATGACTCAAATGGCCCCTTAATCTGGTCAATAAGCTGGGCCTTGGTGTTATAGGCAGTGTGGTTGATGTCTTTCTCAACCCTGCCCCACACATAATAATCCATGGCATTGCCATCAAGGAAGTTATGGAGTCAGATATTGTGGCTGGTGAAGTCATAATAATTATCTGACAACCACTTCTGACTCTTCCTGGAGGTGTGGCAGGAAGCTGAATCTTGCTGCCACACATATGGTCCTTGTAACCACCATCTCGAACTAAGGCTTGACCATGGTGTTCAGCAACTTCACAAATGAATTGAGCCAGAGACCCTGTTCAAAGGTATGAGGTGGCATGACATCACCCTCACTGGAGACACAACCAAAAACATTTTTTGGGACAACATGGACTTCATGACATGAGGAACATCATATGAACTGTAGGCAAGTTGTTGTGTAGCTGGTCCTGACAAAAATTCTTTTCATCAGAGAAGAACCAGATTATCCCTGGTTCAACAGGATGTTTCACCTTGTCTAGGAGTTTCTTTGCCTTTCTCAGATGGTTTTCTCAAGCCTTTTTTGAAAGAAGTTGACTTTTACACCTCTTTTATGACTGGTAGTGGAGGTCCTCATTCAAAGCCATGTTAATGATAAAAATTGCAACATCCATTTCCCATGCCAAAGCCCACATTCCCTTCACTGGGTCTTCCATCATTTTCTCCTGCAGTTGTTGGATGAATTCTGGTATATGAAGGCAATCAGAACATCTATTGTGTTCTTTCCTACAAGTCATGGTCACACAGTCTCCATTACAACTCACCATTTCACATCTTATTGTTTTCACAGTGTTCAAAAAGCATTAAGCAGCTGCCATGATTGCAGGATTTTGATGCCTGGCACAAATCATCATGATGCAGGTTACCCTTTTCCAATATTCAAGAGGCTTCCACTTGTCCATGTCAGTTAACCTTGACACCTCTAAAACTGTAGTGACTAGATGTCACAACAACATTCACTGTTTACAGATATTCCAAACAAATTGAAAAAAATAAAAACATTAAACACATTCAAATTTAACCCAAACACCCTGTATATATGGGAAAATAATATGTAAACTTTTACATATCACAAATAATTTTAGGAAAATCTATTACAAAGTGGGAAAAGGTTTTGTGTGACATGTTTCATCCTTTCCAACTTCATCGGACTAAAGTCACATGAAAAACTTTTCCACTTTCCTCCTGATTTTTAAAGTTAAAAGCTCTACATGTTATTTTTACATGTGTATTGACTACCTTTTAATACTAATGTTTCCTGGTCTGATTCAACTCTGACCATTGACCTTATATATAAACAAACACAGGGATACTGAAAAGTCCTTGGCCTAACTCACTTACCATAAAACAAATGTTTAATATGTTTTTATCTCACAAATCACATTACTAGACAATGGTGAAGTAAGAAATTCTTGTAATAAATATAAGCAATTAGTAAGAATCTTAAACCAAAAAATATAATTAGAAAAAAAAAATGTAATATATCAAAATATGTATGACACTAGCTCTATGATCCCATTGTCTTCAAGCATCTTGAACAATGAGAAAATCATTAAAATATCCCCTGCCTCTGCTCCAAGTGGTATATACAGAAAACGGGATATCATTAGAATTGTATACCATGAAAGAAGTTTTGTTGTAAATACACCATCACCAGGATAGCATCCAAAGAGATATAATTAAAAAAATATAATCAAAGAAAAAAGTTTAGTTGTATTGTTAGTCCCAAGAAACATTCAAGAAAAGAAGAATTTGTCATTTTGAGCTGACCAAATATTTTCAGATATGCACGCTTAAAAACTCGATGTTGCTAAATCATTTTAAATAAAATATTTAAAAAAAATAATAACAAACCTGGAATTTAATAATTTAAACTCAAATTCATCTTGAATATCTTTAAAAGATGTTATATAGTCTAACAATTATATAATATAAATATATATATATATATAATATAAAACATAGTCCCCAAGATATTCTTTTGTCTCATTTTCTATTTTGTTCTGAATCATCATGTTTATTACAAAAAAAAAAAAAAAAAAAGAATGGCTCTTATATAAAAAAAAGTTTGGTAATTAACAAACTAAAAAATGAAAAAGTTTGGGGCTGGCATTAGTATCAAAGGATATAGTAAACATTTTGCTATTGCCAGGACAGATAATGACAGAGAAAGCAGACTGCCCAAATAGTCAATAGTCATTTCTCAAACTACTGTCAAAATTTACTGATGATGGATAAAAAGAATTAAGATAACTGACAATGGAACAGTATGTGATGAGGATCACGCTCATGCTTTTGTCAGTTAGCAAAAAACAGCAATTAGCATTTCCAGTTACTTTTAATAATTTTATTTTTCAACACACAATCATATCAGCTAATTTTGAATGAAAAGGAATTTCCAGTCAAATCATAATTTGGATTGTGGCCTCTATAAACTAAACACATTTTTTAATCCCTGTTTTCTATAAAGTCAAAATATTTTTGAGAAATTTAAAATTTTTCCCTCTATTGTTATCTGAAATATGAGGTCAGGTAAAAAAAAAAAAAAAAAAAAAAAAAAGAAACAGGGAAAAGAAAGAAAGAAAACCAGACACCTAGACTCCCCCACAATGTATTAGTAGTATTGGTCTATTGAATAGGAGAGAGAGTCCAAAACATGCAGTGTTGCATACTGTAGGAAGGTGGCCTATCTCAAGTTATGTGTAGTAGCAAGTAGAGTGGATGTAAAATATTCACCGTAGTCTCCAACTCAGAATCTTCACCACTTTTGCAGCCCTGGAAAAATTATCAGATGTCCAAATGGTGTAATAAAAAAAAAAAACAAAAAAAAAAAAAAAAAAAAAAAAAAAAAAAAAAAAAAAAAAAAAAACGAAAAAAAAAAAAAAACGAAAAAAAAAACAAAAAAACTAAAAAAAAAAAAAACGAAAAAAAAAAAAAAACGAAAAAAAAACAAAAAACGAAAAAAAAAAAAAAAACGAAAAAAAAAAAAAAACGAAAAAAAAAAAACGAAAAAAAAAAAAACGAAAAAAAAAAAAAAAACGAAAAAAAAAAAACGAAAAAAAAAAAAAAAAACAAAAAACGAAAAAAAACAAAAAACGAAAAAAAAAAATGCTTTTATGTTTTTGTGAGTAGGAGTGAGAGAGGTTTGTTTTTTATGCATGGAATAACATATTTGCTAAGTTAAAAATATTCAATTTTTGAGAATAAGATAAAATAGAGAAAAAATTAAGGAAATTGAGAAAAGAATATAATACTTAAAACTGTTGGAGTAAATCTCAAAGAACTTTGTTTTGTGGTATTTATGACTTTTTTTTTAGTAATACACAAAATTAGAGGAAAAAATATATTGGCATTCCATTAGACTCCATTGTAAAGCAATGATTATTTCATAACTGAATTAATTCCATCACAAACTAAAAGGATACCAAGTTATCATTGCTCAAGTATTTTGAGAAAAGAATAAGTCAAAAAAAAAAAAAATCTTCACTACAATTTGGTTCCTTTATTTTCAACTTCCTTAGACAGTTATTATGTCAGAATCCCTGTTGACTAAAGATGTTTAGATAAAATAGTTATTTGAAATAATCTGACCAAAGTAGGAAGAATTGAAACTATTGAGTGATTTTCATCTCTTTCTAATGACCCTAGAGTTATTATCTTGCTTTGTCATATTTCTTGTGATAAAGAATTTTCATGAATCAGAAGTTTTAAACTTCTGATTTGTGGGGAAAAAACACTTCATAATTTTTTTTTTCTTTTTACTTCCTCCACCAAAGGTTTGTTAGTTCACTTGATTATAGAATTTTTCAGTTAGTATAATTCCATCACTAGTATTCCACAGAAATTATCCTAATTGAAAAATTCTACTTACAATTTAAATTTTCTGTTACTTAGGTATCATGAAGAGCCTGCCACAGACTGTCGTTTGGACATAAATAATAATACCAATTTATTAAAAACTATATTTTAGAGCCTCCCAGATATGTTTAATCAGTCTTTACTGACTAGGTAAGTCTGGCACAGAGCCACAAAAGCAAAGCACAAGTAAGGATTGAATTAAAGCAATAATCTTAAGAGACTAGCTTGCTAATTACTGTTCCATTTGTTGGCACAGAGGCCCTTTTATTGTCACATTTAACTCATCTTTGTTCATATTACTACTACTACTACTCTCTTCTCAGACATTACATTATCAACATTACAAGAGTCTCATAGCATTATTAGATACTGAAGTTTTATTTATTACTATTTTAGTCTGTACCTCCTGTGTGTCATCAACTTACACTCGGTGTGACATACAACAACTAGAAAAAGTACAAAAACACTTTACTAAAATGATTGCTGATATTAAAAATATGCTTTAACCTGATAAACTTAAAAGCCTTGAACTTGTCCCACTTGAAACTGAACATTTTAAACTTGATTTAATACAGGTATTAAGAACAGTAAATTCAATCGATGACATAGGTTTGAAGAAATATTTTACTAAAAGCCAGTATGAAGCCACCAGAGGACACCCATTAAAAATTCAACTACTGTCCTATTATCTGAATATATAAAAATATACTTTTTCACTGTGGGTAGCAAATGAGTGGAACACCTTCCCTTTTTCAGCAGTCAATGCAAAAACCTTTTTCTAAAAGTCTTCAAAAAAGGTGATCAAAATATTTTAATTATATTGGCAATTGGTAATTGTAGTTGTATATAATGTGCTGTTTTCACTATTTTAAATGCTTTTCTAATTCATTTTGATTATTTCTGTTTTCAACATTTTCTCTGATCTTTGTTATATCTTTTACCTCCCAATTGTTTGACCATTTTGCCCTAATGGCTGCTGGGTTAATAATAAATAAATAATATGTGTGTGTGTGTGTGTGTGTGTGTGTGTGTGTGTGTGTGTGAGATATGTCAAATTCAGGTGTGCATTGTGAACATGCATGACATGCTCTGTGTGATTTCTAAAGTTCAATTTTGTTAAATTTTATTATTATTTTTACAATACAATGAAATTTAAGTCTTTGGTTATTTAATCATTAAAACCGATTAAAAATTCATATATAAGGCCCAACAATTCATCACTTAGTACTGAACAGTCAGACTATCCGGCATATATGATTTGATAATCGTGGTGAAGTCTCATGCAGAGCCATCAACATCATTTGGAAGAACAGAGAACTAGTGCATATGGTGTGCCATAATATCCCCAAACAGGTTTTGAATTCAAAGTTGTCCTTCTCCTAGACTGATTGCCAACAAGTCCAGTCTGTCCTGTTTAACCCATAGCTGGGAGTAGAAGATATAGATTCATATTCTTACTCAGGATATTTTTGTTTAAGTGAATGTAATGAACTAGACTGGAATTCAAACTCAGCTCTCTGATTTCTCATTCCTAGCCACTGTCTATTAGACCATTTGAACACACACACACACTTATAATAATAATATTAATACAATAATATGAAAATTTGCTGCTAAGAGTTTCATGCAATAATAACCATCAGGTGGCTATACTTATATATTATACTAGCAGCCATGCCCAGTTGGTTGATCAGGAAAGGCGTTCAATTAGAATGGAGCAAAAACAGCATCATGTTTAGATGCAACAGAGTCTATCTTCTTCAATTACTTTAAAGTACTTTGATTAATAAACATTTTGAATTAATGCAGTTACTGATATAACAGAAGTAGTTTGCATTTATTTTCAATCAAAGTTAGCCAAGGACATGAAGGGGTAAAACAGGCAACATAAAGACCCACTTCAGACCACAATTATTTTGGAGTTTTTGAAATTCAATTTGTCAGTATGCTACCAGAGATGTAAAAGAGGATACATTTATAAAGCAATTGTCAAGTTTGATGAAAATTGGTTGAAAGATCAACGAAAAATAAGAAAGAAACTAGTAAAAATCTCCATTTTTCACTATTTACACTTTTTTAACGATATGGGTGGACTCAATTATTAAGTTAAATAACTGTTAAAACAATCAACTTATTGTTGGCTACAATTGAGTGAAGTTTGTATTAGATTGCTTGAAAACTGAGAGAGTTCTTAGTTTAAAATTTGTGTTGAAATTGATTTGTTTTGAAATCGATTTTTTGTTTTTCTCATTTTTTTCACTAAATGCAGTGGCGTAGAAATAAAACTGAAGTATTGTTGAGCTCGTCATGATGCAAGTAATCTACATACCGAGTTTGAATGAAATTGGAGGAAAAAAGTTGAATTTATCAATTTTTGATTGGCTTTATCAATTATTGATTTTTTATGCTAAGAACCTATCGCTTACATTGTACAATGAATGTGGCAAGTTTGGTCAAAAACAGTTGGATGGATCTTGAGTGAAAACGTATCACACAGACATCCTGTTTTATATATAGAGATTTAGGTTCTGTCGACTTTGGCAATGGGCCTTCAATTTAAGCTTTACCTTTATTCCTCACTATTTGTGTTTATATATATATATATATATATATATATATATATATATATATATATATATATATATATATATAAATATAAAAAAGGATGGATTTTTTATTTATTAATCCTACAGATTTTATTATTAAACATTACTTTTAGTATTTGAGTAGACACTATTTATTAAACAGTATATTTATTTATTTTCATTTACCAGTCTGAACTTTTGAGAAATCTTATTAGAGAAAAATTCTGCTAGAGAGCACACATTTTTTTCTAATAAGATTTCTTGAACATTCAAGGCCTGTAGATGAAAATAAATATGCTGTTTAATAAATAAATGGAACATCTTCTCAAATATGAGTATCCACTAAAAATAACACTTAAGTAATATATATATATATATATATATACACACACACACACACACGTACAAAAAAAAAACAAAAAAAAATAGTAATAATTTTTGATATAAGCAAAAAGGGGAAAAAAAAAAAAACTTTAAATTAATTATAGTCTGGTAAGAATTCATTTCCTGTTAGTGTTTTTATAAGTGTCTAGATAAATCTGTATATTTATATGAAAAAGGGAAAAATAAAAATGTTTGGAAACCAATAAAAAAATAAAAAGGAAACTATAAAACAACTTTAAAATGTCAGAAATACATCTTTTCATATGCAACCTGACAGTTGCAAAACACTAGACAGCTACTTACAAAGCAATCTCCACCAAGGAAGTCTGGGATGTAGTTTTTATCAATGAACTCTGTAATTCCTTCGGGTCCCTGGTAGTCATTACCACCAAAGATCATAAACTTTGTCCGAGTGTTCTCGTCAATGAAGGGACTGACCAAAGTCCAAAGGACTGGAAAGACTCTCGGAGCACGTACGATGAGCAAACGACCCATTGTTTCAGGATAATTGGCTTGGACCATCTCAATGATTCGAAGCAATGCTCGAATACCTGGGCGCCAAAGATGACGCATGCTCAGGTTTTCGAGATCCATGATACATGTACAACCACTAGAATAAAAAAAAAGAAAAGAAAGTAGACATCTTAACACGTCTATCAATTTTTTATTTTTTTATTTTCTATATACAAGTAAATCTAATACCAATAAAATAAAATTTAGTCTAATAATGGTTTACTAATAAATTAAACTATTTGAATGTGTTTTAGAAATTATAACTTGCAGGACACATGAAAATTCCAGTTTAGAAACATGAATATAAAGCCATCAGGATATTGTAATACAGAAAAAATGGTTAGTTAAAATATTTACTATCCATTAGAAATATACCTGAATTTGTCAAAAGAAAAAAAAGGAGCATAGCATGATGAAAAAGGTCCCAAACTTGATAAAAACAGTTTTATAATCAAAATGTTTATGTTATTAAGAGGGAAGACCAAAGTATTATTTGATTTTATTACATTTTTTAATCCTTTGTAGCATGTTCAAAATTTTGGTTAAAAATCTTGTTTTCTTGCATCAGCAGGTGAGCTAAAGATTAGTATTAGGAAACTTGGCACTTTTTTTTCCAATAAAAAAACACAATGATTTTAAAATTCTTGCAAAAATCAAAACTTTCAGAACTTATTCACAAATGAATTAAATTATTTTAGAAAATCATCAAATCAAATTAATTATACTTTAAATCAGCTAATATTCCTCAAATAAAGTTTCAGAAAAGTATATTTTATTTTTGGAAGATTTTTTAAAAAAGAAAATTACATTGCGATAAAAAATGACGAAAAAAGGGACGATAATCAACTATTTTAACAAAAGAAACCAAAAAAAAATTCTCCCAGACAATTTAGTTTTAAATTAGTTTTTGAAATACAGCAAAGTATTTTACTTATTGGAAATATTAAATTTAATCTACTAGCTTGAAATTAAAACTAAAATAAAAGCTTCAAGAAAGATTTTTCATTTTTAAAAATTAATTTTAAACCATGGTATTGTGTTTTGTTTTTTTGTAGGTACCTACTATACATATATTGAATATGAATTTTAATATTACTATATTAGCAGAACATCTGTAATTCTGAAGAGCATCTCTGCCATTTTAGGACTTAAAAAAAGAAAAAGTCAATCAAATATCAAATATTTTAATAAGAAGAAATAAAAATTGTAATTTATACTTTCAGATGGTGGTTTAACCATTGTGCTGAACAACAGCAAATCCTCAATCACTCTGCTATTCAAACAATTTGAAGTTCTGACATCTACAGCAGATAAGGTGGAATGTGTGGCTCGGAAATTCTCTTCCAACTCAACACTCATCTGGAGTAACCACACATGATTCTCTATCTAGAACTGAGGCTATACTGAGTGCGATACACATAACCCTGTCACTGGTCTTAGACATCATTTTTAAATTAGACTCCCATAAGGCAAGTGGAGGTGACAGGATACCAGCCATTGTTCTAAAGAAATGTAATTGATCCTGACTAGCCATCTCGACTTCAGTCACTTTCTCACAGATGCTTCCCTCTGTCTTTTCTACAAATATTTTCGTGGCAACTGCTCTGGCAAGCTTTTTACACTGGTTCCCCAACTACATGAATTTAAGCATGCTACTAGATTGGCATCTAGGTCCCATTCTTTTGCTGTTGAAATAGTTAAACGTAACTGCCACTTCTACTCCGACAGTTTCTTTTCTCCCATTTCCCAACAGTGGAACTCCCTTCCACTTCCCTGATAATTACAATCTTCAAAAATTTAAATGTATTCATATTTTATTCTTTCCTAAAAGCCTCCTATACCCAGTCTTTTCTCTCACTTTCACTCTCTGTAACCCCCTGCATACTAGTGTCATGTCCACCTTGCTTGGGATGAAATGATTAAAATAAAAAAAATATATGCTGGATGAAAACAATAATTTTCAATATCAACATTTACAAAAGTGTTGCTTTTTGTCTGTCTTGCTGTCCAGTTATTTTAATGATTACATTATGCGGTGTTGTGTGTGCACAGATTAATTTTTCATACCAAAATATTGTGTGGCGGGAAAATATATTCCAATCTGATTGAAAATTTTGCATCGAGCATTATTCATAATCATAAATATTGTACATAAGTTTTTACATGCTAAAAGTATCATTAATGGACTTATTAGTAGTAAGGGAACTGATAAGAGTAAAGCCAATGTGTTGGGTTTTGTTTCTGAGAGGAAACTATAGGAAGTAGTGTGCACATTATAAATTTATTTGATAGGTATGAATAAGTTAAAACAGTAAACTATAAATGACTAAGTTATTATTTTTCCAACTCATGAGGATTCTGAATAGTAGTTTATTAGGCTTATTATGTATTACATCATACAGTAAAGTGGAGGATTCATTTTTTGTCTTATAATCTCTCTCTCATATATATATATATATATATATATATATACACAGAGAGAGAGAGAGAGAGAGAGAGAGAGAGAGAGAGATATTAGTGGTCAATATATATATATATATATATATATATATATATATATATATATATATATATATATATATTTATATTGTAAGCGTTCTGAAAGCAAAGGAAGTAGTTGTCACAGATTACTTCCACAACACAAAGAAAAAATCACTGTAAGTACAGACTCGAATATCGGGATAGCTGGGATAGGATGTTCAGTAATTTGCATATCAAAATATTTTTATAGCGACTCCTGCGACGGACTTGTTATTTTTTTTTAATTCAAATATTCCATTTTCAGCATGTTATGCGGAATACGTGCCCTTTTGTTTGGTAAGTAATTTTCTTTTTCGCCACTTTTTCCGTCGTAGAATACACGCAACGTGCTGTCGCTTGGTTTGACGAGGTAAGTCGCCGTTTTCTTCGATATATATATATATATATATATATAAAAATTCCCAAGAGGATAGAATCCAGGTAGAACTCAATGTCTAGGACAAAGTAAGAATATAATATAAAAAGCTCAAAACAGAAATCGGAAAATATAACTCTGGAGTTATATTTTCAGATTTCTTTTTGAATTTGTAGGTCTGATGATTTGGATTGTGATTCCGATTCTGATGTAATATATTATAACCATGGAATATTAGTGTTTGAGCCTTTTATATTATATTATATATATATAACTTTTCATTGTCAAAATTTGACCAAATTTTCTGACCACTCTACAAACCAATATTTTTGTTGTTATTTTCAATGTTTGTTCCATGACTATGGGTTTGTACGAAAACTGATATAATCTAATGCTGACATAGTGAACAAAGCAAATAGCATAGTTGTGAAGTAGAAAACTTCAAAATGTTATCTGTTTAAATCCCTTGAAAGAAAAGAGATTAAAAACCTCAATGTATGTTTCTGTTGTCATTTTATCATGAAAGGTAGTAAATAACATCCAATTTACTGTTCACATACCTAACTGGATAGCCCAATTGTTCAGTTGCAGTAGCTGCTCTGCGAACACCTTCTTCATTGACAGCAATGACCTGAAAATACCAAAGAATGGTGTATGTTATCAAGAAGACAGATAAGAAATCTTCAAAATAATTGAGAAAGCATTTTTTATATTACATTTTTATATTGCATACTAGTCAACATGAAACAAAATCCGGATTAAGAAAATAATTTTCGATTATAAATATCTGCTTTGGTTAGATAAAATGTTTCATTAATATGTAACTTTTCATATACAGGGGACTGTAAAACTAATTATACATTAAGTATTATACCAGTATTACTAGTATATAATAGCGGTTCTAGAATTCATTAAAATCATTTTTATTTTCATAATTTTATTATAATACATTTATTTATTATAATTTTTATTTTTTAATAACTAATAATAATAAATGTTTTGCAGGTAAACAGGAGTGTGTGAACATGTGAGGGATTGATATGTTTATTATTCATGTTAATATTGATATGTTTGTATAATCAATACAATACGTTTTGAGTGCACGTTTTGTTTTTTTTCTTTATTGTATACCTACTTTTGCATCCTACAATTATTTAATCATTGAAATGAAATGGTATATGTAAGTCAATATTTTTTTTTTTATTAAAAGAAAAGAAAATTTACAGAATTAGAACTGAAAATCAGTAAACAAATTCTACAGTGATTCTAAATGAAAATCAAGTTTGTGCTAATATATGGTACATTCTCCATATAAGTTTTTTGACATTTTTAAAATTTGATCAGCATTTTATGAAAATAATCAAGTATAGTGAATGTGACAACTCCTTAGATTAAAAATGCAGTTCAATTAAAACTTTGTAGAAAGTGATTGGCATTTTAGTTTATCAAAATGGAACCCTAATTATCTAAGATTATTTTGTCTCCTTGTTCTGCCATCTATTCAGTTCCCTGAAAAAGTAGAATTAAATTCCTTCAAGTCAAAGTTTATATATGTTACCAAAAGAGATATTTATTTATAAAGATGGAACCATTTCTGAGAAAATCAGAGTTATTAAAAGTTTTGTTCAAGATACTTCAAAAGGATTTCTTCAAAATAAATAATGTTTTTATTGATGGAATCATTAATATGTAGACAGGGGAACAGATATATAAGATTTCATCAATAAAAACATTTTGTCTGATGAAATCCTTCTAAAGGACAAAATGTGTTACATAGGATTTTTTTCCATTTTGTCATTCAATTAGTCTGATATATAAAATTTATCTATCACATTCTTCCAATGAGTGTGATAGTGATTTTTGTGGTTACATAAAGTAAGCAACATTATAATAAAGTTTGCAATGAAAAGAAAAAAAAAAGGTCAAAAAAGATGAAACAGCAACAATCATGCAAGCAATAGAATTAAAGCAAATCAAACAGGTAAGAAGGCAAAAGAATTCACAAACTATGAGTTGGTGTTTGTGCACAAAAGTAATGTCGGACAAACGAATGCAATAGGTCTGTATAATAGTTAAGGCAGATCTGGACAAAGTCGTGTCAAAACACAAGCTGTCCCATTTTATTGGCCAAGAAAAATATCCCAGCATGTATTTTGTGTCCTGACTATAAGAGGGAGAAAACCTTTGCAATCATTCCTACTCCTATTGGGAAATCAACAGGTACCATCAAATGAAGGAATAGTGGTATTAAAATTCTGCAACTTTCCTTATAACAAAGGGTCATCTTAGCTATAAGATGAATGGAAATTGAATGTGTCCGATTTGCAATGGATATCTGATAATATTAAAGAGAAAAGCACTCATTTAATGTTTTTAAATAAAACCATTGAACTATCAATGTTACATATTATTGAAGATTTTTCAGTAAAGAGAAGGCTGGTGTACTGTGTTTGTCTCTGGCCTAGATATGTAAAACAAGAGAGATGTGGAGAAAACACTTAAGGTATAATCAGATCAATTCAATATGCCAACATCTGTACAATTTTTTTAACTTTTGATATTACTCAAAAGTAATATTATCATAGAGAAATAATAAAGTATTGATGATACACACAATATGGTAATAAATGTACTTACATGTTTTAATACTGCTTCTTCACCGACAGCTTTCATCAGGCCTTTAACATCCATCTGTCCAAGTCTTAGTATGTACATTGGACGGCCATCTATCAAAAAAGAAAAATAATTATGTCCTAATAATGCAAAAGACAACATTAAAAATAACTAAAATTTCTTGGTAGCCCAAAGTCAGTTCAAAATAGATGAATGCTGTAAAGATTCAATCATTGCTTACATCAAGATAAGGATGCCATTTACATTTTGTGGGAAGCCATCTATATCAAACTGAGAGTGTGAAGTTACAATCATTCTGTAGAAAATCTTCACAGGAACAAACAAAAAATGTCAGGGACAAATTCCCAAGAAACACCAGCCAACACCAATACTAGAGACAATGTTCTAACAGTGAGAAGTTCCAAGAACAACAACTACCTCCATCAACTATCGCAAGATTTTTATTATATCAGTTTGCTGCCAACTGGTTAAAGAACCCACCAATCAGTGCATGGGAACCATTTTAAAAACAGGACACTGTCATCTTTTCTTTTTCTCACATGGAACAAGAATACCAGCTCAAGGGATAAGATCTTTCTCCTTTTTGTCTGCTGCAAATAAATGCACATTACCCTAAGTATCTTTGATCTCTGTGGTAATTCTCCACCACACTTTTAATTTACTCTAATACATAATTTCAATCTCTTGCTTTCCAGTTAACTTTGATATTCAAAACCTACAAATCAATACCAATTGTTATCTTCTAGCTTTATAATTCCTGTTCTTTTATTGCTCTCTCTCATTAATGTTTTTCTTTTTCTCATTCTTTCACACTTAATAACTCTTTGTGTCTTAGTGGCTTCATTGCCTTGCCTGGGCTGAAATAATTAAAAAATATCCATAAAAATGTTCTGATTGTCTTGATTGAAACAAACAATATTGCTCTTTGTTTCAAAATTTATGTTAAAAAGTTAAAGTTAAATTTTAAAATGACTAGATATACTCAAACCTGCAGAAATATTGCATTATAATTTGCACAGTCCTCAAGAATTGGACAAAAACTCAAGACAAACTTCAAATAGTAAAGTCATGAGACTGACAAATATCATTTACAAAGATTCAAAAATGATAAGCAAACTCCAACTAAATCATTTACAAAGATCATAAAGAATTTCTCAAAGGATTGAGGATAGTTCAATATTTCTTCAGAATGAATAAATGCAAACTTTCCACATATTTATTAGAAAAAGTTTCCTTAATTGAAGAAACTCAAATGAAGCTGTTTAAAGTTAAAAAAATAAGATAAAATCACAAAAACATTAACCTTAATCATTTATCTTCCTATTTTCATAGCATAACAAACTGTTATGGGAACTTACCCATAATAATAATGGACTATTCTTGACATTATAAATACTGTGCCTCTCAAGAGGTATGAGGATATTGTAAGACGAGGAGAGATAATTGAGAGCATATTGTAAGGACATTGGAATAGTGATACTTGTCGAGACAACATAGTTCACTCTAACCAAATCCGATAGTCATTACTAATATTTCTACTTCTTTGTATTATATTTTTGTTGTAATATATCTTTGTATTCCATACCTGTGTTCATGTTATTCTTTCATTGGTTCTAACCTTGGACCATTACCATGGTACAAGGAACTTGGACCATAACACAAACCAAACCAGTTTTTGCAAACTAAAACAATACATCTACACTTTTTTTTCCTGAGAGGGTAATTTTCCAATATAAGATTTGACAGAAGACTTTCACAATAAAATTAAATACAAACTTGGTTGATTCTCCAATCAAGATTACTTCCCATCACAAGTCTTCTCCCAAGCTATGGGTTAAATAGGACTTGTATCTGGGAAATCATTGTTATTCCCCAAAAATTGTTAATGCAACATTCATTCATAAAAAACAAAAAAAAAAACAAAAACAATCCAAAATGTTTTAGTTTTAAATAATCCACAAAGGGTTGATAAGGCATAAAAATCAATCTCCACAGAGATATAATTTCCACTCATAATTTTTCATCAGATTAACAACAAGCTTATTTAACCCTGACAATAAACAAATCCTAAAGCTAATTAAAATTATGTATCTGCATGTGAACATTTTCCTAAACTTCTATTTATAAATGTCTATCATAAGCCATATCCTTCTGGCATCGGTTTAAACTGATATCTTCTTTATTGTGGCCATTTTTTTGTTAAAAAAATTAGTTTGTATTTTCTTGTTTAGATGAAAACTTGAAAAATTTTCCAACATATTTTGGAGAAATTGTCACTTTCCAAAATTAATATATAATTATAGTTTATATAAATGAAAAAAGGTGGCATCAGTTTAAACTGACACCAAGAGGATATGTGTTTTTGATCTATAAAAGAAACAAAACAAATATCATAGTAATGAGCTACTGCCAAGTATTTTCTAAAACTTACTCACCTTTGTCTGAGAAGTGCCAACCTCCTGGGTAATACTTCTGAATAACAGGGGATGGCTGATAGTTTTCCAAAAGGTGGTCTATGTTATGCAATTTTCGCCATGCAAGAGAATGTACTAACATTTCTCTGGCTTTCTCGATGTTGAATTGCCGAGCCCGTAAAAAACGGAGAATATGAGCATCTTTAGGGATCTGAAGGGAGAGAAAAATATAAAGAGAGAAAATAAAACAGTAAATTAAAACCCGTTGAAATTTAAGTTATATACGAGAGAGAGAGAGAAGTGGGGGAGAAACTGTCATCCTTTGAGGAAGTGATTGTGCCAAGTAGAGGAGTGTATACATAAAAGACATTACAACTTTTGTGACGTCATGCATTGAACATCTACATATTACAAAGCAGAACAATGCTGAACACAGCTCTAACATTCCTGTAACCTTTACAAAGGGTGCTATTCCTTGTCCTGTGTGCATATATCAAGCTGGCTTTAAAAGTCATCAAATAGAGCATCAAGCATGGAACAATCGTGTGTGTGTGTGTGTTTGCCCAAACAAATATTTCAAGTTATGTTTGGAAGTAAAAAAATATGTAAAATATGTACCTTTCCTAAAATAAGAAAATTTCAAGTTTCCTTTAAGTAAACAAGACAAGATAAAACTAATGTGAAGGAATTATATTGGTGTTTTTATTGTATATTTTCTCATCAGTTGAACAAAAATGCACTCAGGATTGAATAGTTATGGTGTTTCTGGTCATTTCTTTGATTTGATTTCCTATCAAATCACGTAATGAATGTTATCTTGAATGGCCACTCATCTAGATCCTTTTGCATTAATGTGGGAATCACCAAATGACCCACTCTGTTCTCTTGATATCATCAGTTCCTGACACAATATCTATATAAATGACAATTATTTACTTGTCTTAATAGAAAGTCTGATAAATTTGACAAAATCAAATTGGCAACTGATCTCAAAAATGACCTAAAATATGTTGTGAGCTGGGGCAAAAAGTAGCTTGTTAATTTTAACACCTCTAAAATGAAATGCATCTATACTAAACTCCAGGAGTGCAACTCAGTGCAACTTCTGGTCTCACATTCTCCACAGACATGAAGTGGAATGATTATAATTAATCAACTGCTAAGTCTGCTGCTAGGAAAGTCAGTTCACTATATAATGCTAGACAATTTTTCTCTCCAGAATCTACCTTGCACATTTATAAGTTTACTATTTGTCCGTATATCAAATATCACCCAATATCTTGTTTTGTGCTTCTGCAATGTGTATAGAGATTCTTGACAAAATTCAAAGAAGAACTGTCAACATTATTGGTTCTGACCTATCATCTCAGCATCAGTCACTTTCCCAGCACTATAATGTAGCTTCTTGCCTCTTCTATATTTTCCCAGTAATTGTTCTGATGAGCAATGGCTTTCCAGATTTAAGTGCATTACCAGATTGCCAACTCAGTCTCATAATTACTTGTCATAACAATAAGTTCAATCCTAATTGTTTCTTTTCTCACACATCTCACTTGTTGGAAGAGTGTCCTACAAGAGTATCTCTTTTTTTATATATATTTTAATCATTTCACCCCGAGCAAGTTGGGAATTCCACTAGAGTGCAGGAGGTTACAGAGAGTGAAAGTGAAAGAGAAGGCTGAGAATAGAGAAGATTGAGGAAAAGACAAAAGATGAACGGGATTCAAGAAGACAGGAGATGGCAACTGATGTTGCATTTAAATTTTTGAAGATTGTAGTTATCAGAGAAGCAAGTAAACAGAAGAGAGTTCCACAGGTGGGAAGTGTGAGAAAAACTGTTGCAGTAGAAATGGCGATTGCATTTACCTATTTCAACAGTAAAAGGGTGGGACCTAGATGCTTAAATTCATGTATTTGGGGCACCAGAGAAAAAAGCGTGTCAGAGAAGTTACCATGAAAATATTTGTAGAAAAGACGAAAGGAAGCCACATCACATCTATACTAAAAATGACTGAAGTTGAAATGCCTGGTCAGGATCGATTACATACAGATCCTTCTTTGGATTTTGTCAAGAATCTGGAGATGTACAGTAGGAGCACCAGACAGGATATGGCAACAGCTGGAGTACCAGACTGGATATGGCAACAGTATTCAATGCCCAGACGAATGACAGATTTGTAAATGTGCAAGATGGATTCTGATGAGAAAAATTTTCTGGTACAACACAGTAACCCAACTTTCCTTGCAGTAGATGTAGCTATTGATTCCATGTAGTCATTCCACTTCAAGTCAGTGTAAAACATGAAGCCAAGAAGGCACAGTATGTTGCTCTCCTGGAATCTAGCATCATCCATGCTGATGGCAGGCAGAAAAGGCTCTCTATGGTGGTTAAATGAAAGCAGTAATATGTAAGATGCTAATTAACTCTGATAGAAGATTTTACTGCTTACAAAATTACTTACCAGACACCTTCCCAACTCACACTGATAAGGAAATAGAAAGGGAAAATATTTACTCCTAACTTCATAGAATATATCTACATTTACTTACCTTGCCCTTGTGAGTTTCCTGCAAGCATTGACGAAGTTGTACAAGCTGACTTTCTTGAACAGGAGTCAGATGTCCAAGACAGCGTTGAATGTATTCTGCTTCCAGTTTTCCTGAATTCACAGACAGTTCTGTCTTCACATATTCTACAAGAGAATGTAACAAAACATTTTACTTTGTTTTTGGGGAAAATAAAGTTAAAAAGATTGTATTACACCAACCTTCCAAGTGAGAAGAGCATACCTAATTAAAAATCAGTATTTGAAATTATAGGACATACCTGGGTTCAAACACTGACCTCTGGGAAATATAAAACAAAGCCAAGAAAACAATATTTTTCATCATTTTAATTTTTTTTTTTCTCCTTGTATCTGTGCAAATATTTTCCTTTGCAATTTGATTTTAACTCAGTCACTTCAAACAGAAGAATTCAGTAAGACAAAAAAATTACTATATCAACTTGAACAGCACTAAGGCCTTCATACTAATAGGAAAGACTTACTTTTGACTTTCTGTTCGGCAGTCTCTACACTTGATGGCTCAGCTTGAAGTCGTTGCTCTGAGAAAAAAAAAAAATTATAATATAGCAGGTGACACACTGTGCCTCTGTTCCTAAGTGGAAGTAGTGGTGCAGGGCATCATGGCCAGGTGATAAGTGTTGTTTTCCTTTTTAGTTTGAAGGATGTGGCAGCCAAGGTGACTTAGGAGTTACATCTAGATACTTGGGAACACCCTCAATCTAAGATTATCTAAGTAGACTGGGTTACTTGACCTGTTGGTATTTCTAACTGGGCCTTACCTGCAAGGTTATTCATGGCTTTTATCAAAAGCAGTCACCATATTGTGTACATTAAACTTTTTTCAAGCACTGGTCCACATGAGATATAGTTCATCATAACACACTACTAAAAAATTCAAGCCGATATTTTTATTGATGGTACCACAGCCATTTCATCCACAAAAATAATCATGCGCAGAAACATCTGCCTTAGAAATGGGGAAAATTCAAATTTTTTTTATGTTTGGAGAAATGTTTACTTTTAAAATTAAAAAAAAAAAAATGAAGTTTCAGCATACTATCCAAGATGACATTTTATTCACTTACGTTATAATCATATTTTGCCAAATAAATGGCAGGGAGGAAGTACCTCAGAAGTCGGAGACTTCTTGTAACATGTTTCCTCCCAAACTGATAACACTATCAGACAGTTTTAGCCAGGCCTGACTGAGGCAGACAAGGTCATGCCATGCACAACTGTGCCCAATTGATTATCCAATCAAACGCCAGTACGATTGTTGCTAGGCCAAGATTCACCCATGCAAAGAAAATTGGGTGTATAAAAGCATGGGTGTGTGAAAATCAAATCAGAGAGGAATCTGAGACAAATTGGAGAGGAATCTGAGACAAATTGGAGAGGAATCTGAGACAAATTGGAGAGGAATCTGAGACAAATTGGAGAGGAATCTGAGACAAATTGGAGAGGAATCTGAGAAGAAGCAGATGAACCAGTAAAGTAACTGCAAAGAAAATTGAAAAAAAGATTTAAGAAAAAGAACCATTCTGCACATGATCCTAAGTCTTTGACAGATATTCAAACGAACAGAATATGGAATATAAATTCAATCCAGCAACACTGAAACCAATCAATTCCAGAACAAATCCTTAATTTTTTGGACATTACTAACTTATTGTTTATATTATTGGGGTAGACTGTTCTAATTCCGCGTGCCATATTTCCACTGTGCCATGTGTCCTCAAGGACACATGGCACAGTGGATAAAGGTGTTGGTTAGATCCAGTGACAGGACCCAAAGAGTGTGAGTTCAATACCCGGTTAAGGCACTGGAGAACTTTCAGAGGAAAATTAACAGGAGATAACTGATAACTGACATCCATCAAACATGGCACGTGGAATTAGAATAGTCTACCCCAGTGAGTGAAATAAAGGGTTCGGTTCGACATTCCAACCACCTGAAGAAGGCCAGAGCGTTGTGATAGATATGGTGAAAAAGATGAGGACAATAGTCTGGATAATGTAAATAATGTACATAATACCTCATCTCAGAAATATAGACAAACTCTTATTGTTTATATGTATATTTATATGTATATCTGTGTTTTTCTAGTGGCCGCTGACAAGATCTCAGGATAGTACATTGTTTTACATTAATATTTTTATGTCTATGTGACCATTTATGTTTCTGTGTTCTATTGTATTCTTTCCTTGATAATCAATTGGTAATTAATCATTGAACGATTGATATCAATGTTTGCGTCACAATGCATATCATCATCAAGGAATTTTAAAAAATAATAATAAACATTTTGTTATCAATTTCAATTGTTGTAAATTCTTGCTTGGTTTCAAGAAATTTATAATTATTAAAGTGTAATTTGCTAATCACATTCCCTCAAGCCTTTCCTTCAACTAATTTTCCTGACAAAATAATCAGTATGGCTCACGTTTAAGGGTCTATTCTTAACATATAAATAAACTGAAGCCCGATTATGAATAGCAGGGAACATCACACTTACATATAAATACTCTTGGGAAAGGTATGTATCCACCTCTTCTCCCTGCAGCTATAGGTTAATTAGTAAGACGCATATCACAAAACCATTATTATGTCAAAAAAATTCTTACAATCTAAAAATATTTTATGACTTTAAATAACCTGAAAAGGGTTCATAAGCCGTAAAAAACAAATCACTCAATCAAAAAAAAGTTATCAACAAAAGGTCACAAAATTTAAGAAAAATTGTACTAATCATTGATTATGTATGAGAAAGTTTGAGTGAACAAATAAGAATGAAATGAAACCAACAAAATTTTAATAAACATAATTTTCTTCATGAAATTATATGTGCCAATACTCAAAAAGCCAATTGGATCACATGTTACCCTCAGGCCACAGTTTGAGCATGACTGGTGTAGAATAATTATACAAGAATTATCAGTAATACATGGATTATATTTCAAATTAATATGCATCAAGTATATTTTATAACATTCTGATTAGTCCTATATTTATTACATACTGAAGGTGAATTAGTGTATCTGCTGAATCAATGTGAATATTTTATACACACAAACCAAATGAATCACACGACTGAAAGAAAAATGGAAGACAGCAAAGATAATGATCATTATCGAATGCCTGTCATATTCAACAAAAACACAAAACAAAGAGTTGGAGACTATATAAGAAATAAAATGAATAACTGTGACAAAGATGGTATAATCAAAGATTTAAAACACTACAGAATGTGCAATAAAATTAGTTATTTAAAGAACAAACCAAAACAATAGTTATATTATTTACATTCAGTCCTATGGAACAATAGCCTAGTGGATAAAAGCATTGGTTTGCAAATTTGGTGACATAGTAATGATGAGTTCAATCCCTGAGCTGGGCAGTATACTCAATGGAAAACTGGTGAGCAATAACCAAGCAGTACTAAAAAATAAGATATTCCTAGCGAACATTCCACCCCCATAGATTAAATAATTCTCTGTAGACTACCAGGATCAATATACACCTGATGAAGGCCGGAGGGCACAAGAGCCAAAATGTTGTGATAACAACAAAGATGAGGACAACAGTCTGAATTTAAGTAGTCCAAATAATGACAAATCCTCATCTCTGAAATCCAGACAGAAACCAAAAGAAGTTACAATATTGGATAAAACCACTTTAAAATAGAAATATAATTTGCTAATGTAACCCAAGATTTAAAAATAATTTTAAAAATTATAGATAAAACCAGGCTAAAAAGAACAAGGCAAATACACGTTTAATATGAAAATTAGGTGTGGATCCCCCAAATTTAAATGACAAAATTTGCTTACCTTCTGTCATGGGTGTCGTAGTTTCTATGTGTGCCTGACCATCACTTTTGCGGCTTTCTTGACTGGAAGTGCTTCCACTCCGTGCTAAGGCATTACCATCTTGGCAGCTTATTGCTTTGACCCCTTTAGCTAAACTTGCCTCTTCATTAGCACCTTCTTTATCTGTTGGGCTCTCCGTCCAGGGAGGGATGTAGGTGATGTTTTCCTTCAGCAGTTCATTGATGTAATATTCTATCACTTCTTTACCCTTAAAGAGAAAATGATCAAATATAAAGTCCTTCTTAAAGTAAATCTCTCAAAAATTAGAGAAAATAATATAGATAGGATATTATTTATACTTTCTCACCTTTTTAGAGGGTTTAGAATTTTAAAGAGTGGAAAACGAAAAGCTGGTTAGTTTTATATTTTACATAAGGATAATTTAAACAACACAAGCTCAGGACATTTATCTTGGCTTTCACTCACTTGTGCATGAATAGCTTTCTTTTGGTATCAATGTTATATGTCAAGATATTTTGATTTAACTATTGACAGTTATATCAAAGTATAATAGATTTTAAAATTATTTAAATTTTTTTTTTTTTAATCAATATAAACCTATGCAAGGCAGTAAAACCACTAAGATACAAGGGGGGGCTACAGGGTGTGGAAGAATTAGGAACAGAAAGATTAATAATGAGCGGGAAGACAAAAAGGTAACCAGGAGGACAGTAGATAGAAATTGACATTGCATTTAAACTTTTGCAGATTAAAGTTGGCTGGAAAGCATGGAGCCATTAGGGAGTTCCATAAGCAAGAAAAGAAACTGTTAGTATAGAACTTATAGTTACATCTACCTAGCTCAATTGTAAATTGAGATCTCAACACCAGTCATTTGTGAAAGGAACAGAACTAGACTAATTTACTTTCAAATGAGTTCTTTATTAAAATTAATATGAAAATTTATGCAACTGAATGAGTCTGAATGAAAAAAATTAAATAATACAAGAAAAATATCAAGCTAGATCAATGCTATCAAGTGGATATTATATTTTATAGCTTTTAGCATTTGAATCAGTGACTTATCTCCCTTGATTAGCTATTATATGTTGAATGTCTTAATAGAGTAGAATCCCCTGTATTTTGAGTCATTCATACAAGTTTTTTTTTTCATGTGTGTTTTTTTTAGTTTTTTAATCATATCCTGGCTGCTGTACTTTGTCTGTACAATGACCAAATCATTGTGATGAAACGGAAAGAGGGAATTCATCCAAATAGACCAAAATACAATGATCATAACATCTCATTGAAAAACAAAAGAAAATTCATAAAAATACAATCAGTTTCTATTTTTCTAAGCAGTTGGACAATTTCTTCAAAGATGAAGAGGCTTGAAGTAACAAAAGTGTGGTTCTATAGAAGAATGCTGAGGATACCACGGACCAAACATGTGAGCAACAACAAGGTTTTAGAGAAAATGGAAACAAAAAGGAAACATACTTTTCAGGAAGAGACAGTTGAAGTTCCTGGGGTACATAATGAGAAAGGAGGGCTTGGAAAATCTGTTACTCACAGGACAGATTAAAGGCAAGAGGGACATAGGAAGGCAATGCATAACATACTTGACAAGCTGGAGAGAATGGATGGTGGAGCAGGGTTTAGAGATAAAAGACAATTTATTTAGAAATGCAAGAGACAGGAAATTGTGGAGAGCCATGATCGTTTATGTCCTGAGGGGACATAGCACATAAAGAAGCAGCAACAGCAGATGAAAGAAGGGTGCTAAATTGAAATACGAGTTCTTTGAATCGTAAACTCTTGCCCTACAAGGAAAGGGTCCACCCTTTCATTAAAAAAAGTGCAATACAAGACAGGGTGCAGAAAAGTTCTTGGCAAACAATAAAGACTTGTAAAAAAATAAAAATAAAACAAAGTAAAATTGATGTTTGGCAATTTGGTCAAGAGCTTTTCAGCAACCCCTCGTATATTGTAAATAGATTCTTGGTATCACAAAATATACAGAAAATTCAAATTTATTGTCTGAAGACAGCAATGAATAGCTGTCATAAGTTACTTTTTTTTTAATACAATAAATTTTTTATCTGTTTATATTTCTGAGATAAGATATTATATACACTATTTACATTATTCAGACTATTGTCCTCATCTTTGTCACCATATTTATTACAACGTTTCGGCCGTTGTACGCTCCGGCTTTCTTCAGGTGGTTGGAATGTCGAACCCTTTATTTCGCTCACTGGGGTAGACTATTCTAGTCCAGTGACAGGACCCAAAGAGTGTGAGTTCAATACCCGGTTAAGGCAGTGTAGAACTTGGAGAGATGAATTAACAGGACATAACTGATAACAGACATCCATTAAACATGGCACGTGGAACTAGAACAGTCTACCCAAGTGAGAGAAATAAAGGGTTCAGTTCGACATTTCAACCACCCTGAAGAAGGTTTGCGCGCATAACGGCCAAACGTTGTAATAAATATGGCGACAAAAATGAGGACAATCCTCTGAATAATGTAAATAATGTATAAAAATAATAAGCACGATTTATTTAGTATATTGTTTATTGGAATGGATGGCAAAACATCGGCTAATTGCCAATCGATTCGAACTTTATAAAATGGTAAATAATAAGGATTTCCTTATAGTTGGCTTTCATATTGTAATAATTTAGTAATTTTTTATAAATTTATGAATAAAAAATTATTTTCATATTTATTGGTAAATGATAAATATTGTATTGCATTAGTTCTAATTGTATTCGTTGTTTTAGAATGTTGTAAATACAAAATTCATTTTGTAAATAAAGAATCTAATAAATAAATATATAATGTTTAATATTTTTGTGGTAAATTTTCACGAAAAAAATAATGTATATAAATTAACTTTCATCATATGTTTAGATTTTGTTATAATTGTAATCATCGCTTTCTAAAACAATAAATATTGCCGAAGAGTGAAGGTAGTTAAAAAAGTGGTGTCATGTGGGGGGGGGGGGCATTCCTTTTGATACGACGTCTTATTGCGGTCACGTTTATTCATGTTCAGGTGGTTGTAATGTCAAACCAAACTCTTTATTTTGCTCACTGGGATGGACTGTTCCAGTTTCTCAAGGACACATGGCACAGTGGATAAAGGCATTGGTTAGATCCAGTGACAGGAACCCAAAGAGTGTGAGTTCAATACCGGTTAAAGCAGTGGAGAACTTGGAGAGGTGAATTAACAGGAGATAACTGATATCCATTAAAACCTGGCACATGGTACTACAACAGTCTACCCCAGTGAGTGAAATAAAGGGTTCAGTTCAGCAACCTGAAGAAAGCTGGAGTGTACAATGGCCAAAACATTGTGATAAACATGGCAACAAAGATGAGGACAATAGTCTGAATAATGTAAACAGTGTAAATAATACTTCATCTCAGAAATACAAGGTAACCAAAAAAGTTCTGTCCGTTTTTTGATTAGTCATTGAAAGTTGAAATATATATGAAATGCGTGCAACAATTGTTTTCAAATTCGGACAGACGGAAGTAGGAACATCAGACGTTATAAAAAACATGCGCACTGTGCCCAACCGTCAGTTATAAGCTGGACAGCTGTGAGAAGGATGAAAGTGTCTAGAGATATCGTTCAGAGCTGTTTGCTTTACGACTTCAAAGTGGGCTTATCAGCAGCTGCATCAAGTCGCCGCATATGTCAAGCATTTGGGGATAGTGCTGTGGATGAACGTACTGCAAGGCGTTGGTTTCGAAAATTCAAGTCGGGAGATTTGTCTCTCCATGATGAGCCTCGCAGTGGACAACCACAGGTTTTGAATGACGGAGTCCTGAAGGCGGCCATTGAAGAGGACAGTAGTCTAACGTGTGGTGAACTTGCAAGACAGTTCAACGTTTCCGATGAAACAGTCAGACTTCACCTGCACTGCCTAGGTAAGATGTACAAACTGAGCAAGTGGGTTCTGCAAACGCTGTTGGAGGTCCAGAAGGGACCACGAGTGGCATCTTGGGTATCGCTGCTTTCTCGCCACCGTATCGCATCCTTATTCAATCGAGTGCTTACCAGTGATGAAAAGTGGGTTCTGTACAAAACTCCCAAGCATTCCAGACATTGGTTGTCTCCTCAGGATGCTGTCCCTCATACCGCAAGACCGCCTATGCCCCCACGCAAGATTATGCTTTGTGTCTGGTGGACAGGTCGTCAAGTGGTTCATTATGAACTGCTACCAATGGGCCAAACGGTCACTGGAGACCTATACTCGCAGCAACTGAAACGTGTGCAACAGGCATTGTGCCAGAAGGAGCCAGCAATGATGAATCGCAAAGGTGTGCTTTTCCTCCATGATAATGCCAGGCCGCATGTCACGAGAGTGGTCAGGGATACCATACAGCAACTTGGGTGGGAGACTTTGTGCCATCCACCTTATTCACCTGACCTTGCGCCATCCGATTACTACCTCTTCCACTCCCTGGATAATCATCTTCGTGGGAAATCCTTCACCAATGAAGCAGACTTGTGCAAAGCCCTCACGGACTTCTTGCGTCAATTTATAAATGCATAAGATTGATTCTAACAAGAAAAATTGCCTGGCATGACATAGTGAATGTGGATCAAACTAATGTTATTCCTTTTTTTAAGTGTACCAAGCAAAGTGAGGGGCTGATAGGTGAGCTTAAGTTTATCATCACATGTACAGGGTGAATGGATAAATTGTCATCTATATTACATAAAAATGAAAATAACACTGATATCTCATTTTAACAGTTATATTTACCAATATTACACAAAAATATCTTGAAATACTAAAGAGTAAATTTATTCAATAAAATTGCCATTGACTTAAACCACAGCCTCCAGTCAACTTCGGAATCTCCTGCAACTATTCTGGATAGTCTCCTTGTTTAAGATGACAAATGCTACCATAATCCTTGCCTTCAGTTCAGCTTTGGTGTTACAAGGAGTTTTGTTGGTTTCTCACTCAACTACACCCCAAATATAATACTCAAGGGGTCAGGGGAATTAGGTGGCCAGATGTAAGGTGTGATGTGGCCACAGAAATTGTCTGACAGCCATGACTGGGTACTCCTGCTTATGTGGCATGGTGCAGAGTCTGATTGTTAGACATAGGGCCTTCCAGCAGCCACCCTTTTGACCCAGGGCAGCACTACCTCCTGTTGAGTCTGAGGTCTTCTGAGACCAAAAGATTTGGGAGTTCTTTTCTTATCAGAACAATCAGAGCGAGTTTTCCGAGCTGCCATACCTTCGTGATCACCATTAGACTTATTCAACTCTTTCTGAATCCTCTGCACTGTCATTAAGTGGAGATTCCAACATGAATAACAAGCAGAACAGCATGCCGTTTCCAAATTTCTGATGAAATGAAATGCGTCATGGTGCTCTTTTTCTCACAGATTACATCCAACTGATCCTACTATACTGTGCAGCTAACAAATCAAAAAACAATTAACGCATATGCACAAAATTAAAAATATAAAATGGTGACAATTTACCCATCGCACCCTGTATATATTCTTCGTTTTTGTGTATTTAACTCCTGTGCTATAGTCATCTCTTCCCAATTTCCAGGTCTATATCTTGGTGGCTGGCAAGACTGATCTTCGAATGGAACATTCATCCACACAAGATACATTGGAGAATTTGGTGAGTCTACTGTCTTTATGTATCTAGATTGTTTTTCTTTAAAAGAAAATCTCCAGCAGGCAAGTAGTTTGACACCAGGCTGGATGATTTGTTGCTAGTTTCTCACAGTTCTGTAAGTTGATATTGCTTTTTTTCATTATCTGTTTCAGTTGATCCTTTTAGTGATGCATGGGATAATTGCAACAGCTTATATACAGCTATACACTCATGCACTCAAATTATATTTTTTTGTTGTGAAAGACTATTTATCCACCATCTACTCTCAAAATAAGGCTAAAATATTTATCTGTATCCTCCAGGCCAAAGGTTTTTTTTTTTTTTTTTTAATTCAATTGTATTTATTTATTTTTTGCCCTTGGGATGTATTTTGAAGTCAGATTGTCCCACAAATAGATTAAATAAATGTTTTACCTTCTTGATGTTGATAGTGTACTGTTTCATTGCAATCTTTTCCAGTGTATTTTCAAAGCCAAAGAAAGACTTAACATCTAAACTGGCACTTTGTTCAAAACAAGTCCAGTTGGGATTTTCAGGATGAACCTGTAAAGTAAAAGACAAGAAAAAAAAAAAAAATTAAAATGACAATTTTCATGTTCATCAATATCTGTATGGGTCATTACAGCTTTCACTGAAAAATCTTTTTTTTTTAATTTCCTTTTTCCTAAATAATTTCAGTAAGGAATTACAAGGTGCAATGACTTAATTATTATCATGAAAATCAATTGTGTAGAGCACTTGATTATTTATGCATTTTTTATATATTAATACAAGTCTCAAGAGCCACTTGGTTAGAGGGTTACAGTCAAAATGATAAGGAATAAGTTGTGTCCTGAAAGGAAAAGATGGCATGGTTAAAGTTATGAGGATAAAGAGGAAAGATAATGAAGACCCTGGACTTGAAGAAGTCAAAATTGAAGTATACAGAGAAGCACCCACATGAGAGTCTACTGTTCTGTCTGGACAGAACTTCTTATAGGTATATTAATTTGGAAATTCTTGCAAAAATCAAATAATTTTTGGATTTAATCACAAATGAATGAAATTATTTTTAAAATATTTTTATTAAATCTTGGTAAAAATTTTTTTTTTTTTTTTTGTGTTTCAGCCCCTTAATGTTATGAAAATTTGCGAAATTCAACTGGATAATTTTTAGTAACAATATTAGTTAAAATCAGAATTCTTTGAAATAACCAATTTTTTTTTTTTATAAACAAATCTGTTCTTACTGAAAATCTGTTCTGATTTGAAAAATAAAAAATGCAATAAAACTAAGACATTATTTAATTAGAAAACTTTTAATTGCTTTTATGAATAATATATATTAAAGACAACATTGTCCAAACAAAAAATGAATTTTTACAAGATTTGTTTCCATTCTTTTTACAATTTTAAATTAAATAATTCGTAAAGCTTTTAAATCTTTTAAAATTCATTTTCAATGTGATAATTCTTAGAAAATATTGTTATTAAGTAACCCTATATTTACTAATAATATATTGTAAAGCTTATTACAATCTGATGACCCTGAATATTTTTAAAAGAATTTCAATATTTTTGTATGTGTGATTACGTGCAGAATAAGTATGGATGTACAAATTGATAAATCGAGCATTAAAAGGTCAAGTGTTTTAAGGGTTGTCTCCCCTCTTATGGAAAAAAAAAAAAAACTTTATTGTCTGCTCCACCATACTTAACTATGAAGACATTTGGTTGTAGATCAACTGTAAATAACTCAATTACTATGTCAGAAAAACAAGACTTGTAGTTAAGAAATGTTTGTATACAACATTTTATGCTACAAGTAATATTTGTTTCAAATCAAATTAGTTTAACTTTGAATTTGCTAATTTTCATCATGACATTTCAGAAATATATATTTTTACAAGAATTTTCAAAAAGAGAATTAACTTTTTTTACAAATCTGTCAAAAATGGCCGTTTTGATCAATTTTGTTAAAAAAAAAATTCTGATCAATATAACATCTACATCTAGCTAGCTCAACTATAAATTGATGAGACCTCGACACCAGTCTCATGCTGTGCTTAAATTCAAAAAGCTATGTACTATAGCAAAGAGCTCATTTGAACAATTACCATGAAAGTATTTATAGAAAAGACAGAGAGGCAAACTTGCAGCGATGTGAAGGTGACTATTTGAGCCGCCAGATCAGGACCAATAATACTGCAGATTCTTCATTGCATCTTATCAAGGAGCTCAGAGTATTTTGCTTACTGGAAATAGTAAATTTTAAATCCTTTAGCTTTCAATTAAAACTAAAGTGAAAGCTTCACAGAAGGTTTTACAGTTTAAAAATTTCATTTTAAACTTTACATATACCAAATTAGTGGAGGTACCTATTACAAGATACTTTGAAAAGAGTATTTTTTCTAGATATGCACTAATAAGTCAAGACTTTACAGATCCTAACATCATTCACCCTCCACTACACTAAAACAACCAGTTCCTTTAGAAAATCTATTTATATTATACTCTTTTTTTGTTGTTGTTGTTGTAATAATAATAATAATTCATGCTGCTCCTGTAACTTTGAATTACCAGTGCCAAACTGTTTATCTGTTTTGTGTAATTGGCTGAGGTAGGCCAGAACACTTGCTTGAACTGTCATAAATTGTCTCCCACTGAGAAAGTGTGTTTTTAGTAGTGAAGCTGCCATGGCCCCATCACACCTATAAACAAAGTGGGCCTAGAGAAAGTTTCGCAGCCTGACTGTCACTGGAAGCAGCAAAAATATTCTTGAATATAATTTTCCTTCATACTTAATGACATGAACTGTCCCTCCACCACATGCCAATGACCATATCATGTTGAAACACCAGTTCCCGTACGATCACTGAAGTTATACAACATCAAGCCTAGTCAGTACCTTGATAGCTGACTGCTTCGGAATACCGAGTGCTGTAAGCATGGATATATGGGTGGTGTAACGGATAATCACATGGAATTGTTAATCAGAGAGCAGAGTTCCAATTCCAGTTGGGTTCATTATATTCGTTTACCCTTGCGAAAGGTATGAATCCACCTGTGCTTCCCCAGCTATTGATTAATTAGTAAGGCATGTATCACTATATATCATAATCATAATATATTATCATTAATATCATTATTTAAAAAAAAAAAAAAACTTCTCACAATCTAAAAATATTTTCTGTCTTTATATAACCTGCAAAAGTTTGATAAGCTGTGGAAAACAAATCAATCAATCATATCTCCCCCCCACATGACTACCATGCAAATATACACACCTATTAAATTCCCATTTAAGAATCTGAATGAAAGAGTTTGAAACTGATTAACATTTTTAGTGAAAAGACACAAAAAGGTTAAAGTAACTAACAAAATTATCATTAATCAGCAAGATGTTTGAAACAATGGGGGGGGGGGCATTTATAAGAAATTGATTGGAAAAATAATTATTAATTATTAACAACAACTTCATGTTAAGTAACATTGTGAAAACTATTTCTCTTGTATCTGTTCTCTATTCAAATATTGATTTTATATTTTTGTAAAACCAATGAAAAAAAGTAGCATATAATGTATGACTAAATACTTTTTTAAGCTTGTCAATAGTTTGTTTTAGGTATTATTTATTGTCACTAAACACCATAGATACATTTTCAATTATCCTGATATAATACTTCAGGAATCCATATGTAGCGGCATAATTGGAGACAATCAATAGTTTCTAGGAAAACAAATTATTGAAAGTATAATATACACTGTATGTACAAATATAATATGTTTTTACATTGTAATCTCTTGATTATATTTATCTATTAAGACTAGACTTGCACAAGGTTACATTAAAGAAGCGCCCAATAAGGACTAGACTCACTACAGTAGTATTTTTTTTTCTTTTCATAATAAAGTTCACACAATACAAAATTCAAGAGCAATTCATGCTAAAGGGCTACTGAATGAGGTATGTGATATGAATGGAAGGAAGTAGAAGAAAGTGAGGATAAGAATAGGTAGTTATTGACCCAAGATTTTGGTTAAGATTGTTGTGTTCAGGGAAGCATCCACACGGGAGTTTATTCCCCAAAGTAGCAGTTCTCAGGAAAAGCTGTGAGTGGAACTTCCTCATCACAATTGGAATATGAAGGAAATGTAGGTGATTTGGCTATGGACATTGCAAGTCAAGTCCTAGCTATAAAGGCCTGAACTGGGGAAACTAAAGAGAAGCTCATCTGAACATTTGCCATGGAAACAGCAATAGAGTAGTAAAAGGCTAGACATGTTGTGCTTGTGGAGAAAGAGGCTGTAAGAGGGAAAATAAGTTGTCTTCTACAAGACCATGAAAAGGATTTCAAACTCTATTAAAGCTGGAAAGTGTGGATTAACCAGTTCCAATCCAAATATGGCAGTATTATTGTATTTTTTGGTTTAATCTGACTCTTTTTAGAAAGGTACTTTCTTGAGTGACACAACAGAATATGCTTACCATCTCTGTTCTGAGAGACAATGGTTATATTAAGTAACCAATGTACCTTCCGACTATGGGGAGCTAACAGAATGAAGGATTAAAATTGAAAAAAAAAAAAAAAAAAAAAAAATCCTTGTAGGAAAAATAAACTTACTGAATAGATACAAGTTTCATTGACAGTGACTCTAGAGGCAAAACTTTCATTGTGGGCTTCTATTTTCAGTGTTCGATTGCGTCGGTCCAGAGTGTTGCATTGCATGAAATAGACATAGTCAACGCCAGCAAGCTGAAAAATAAGAAAACAATTTAACTGCAGGTGAGACAATTCCTTTATGGGGAAAAATAAAAAATAAAATAAAAACTTAAATGAGAAAAATAAAAGACAACAAAATAAACTTGTTCTACTGAACAATTCTTAAGACATTTCCTTTTACATCTACTTGACTTACTTCAACTGCTTACAGTAAGTAACCAGTACAGTCATAACTTTTAAACCTTTAAATGTTAATTTTTGCTTAATGGAAGAGGCACTTTGTACAAAGTTCAACATTGCATCACCTTTTCCGTTTTAAGTGAAAAGAATGAAAATCTTTAGTATATATTTTTTTTTTAAATCATTTCACTCCAAGGAAGGTGATAATGCTACTAAGACGCAAGGGGTTACTGAGGGTGGAAAAGAACGAGGAGACTTCAATGAGAAAAAAAAACAATAAAAAAAAGGTATCCGGAAGGCAGAAGATGACAAATGAGATTGCATTTAAATTTTTGATCATTGTAGGTGGCAGAGAAGCAAGAAACTGGAAGAGAGTTTCACAGGTGAGAAGTGCAAGAAAAGAAACTATTAGTGTAGAACTTACGGTTACATCTAGTTATTTCAACAGTAAAACAGTGAGACCTAGTAGCCAATCTAGTAGTACACTTAAATTTACATGGTCATGGTACCAATGAGGAGAGCTCATTAGAACAACTGCCATGAAAATATAACAAAGACAGCAAGAATCCACATCATGGTGCTGGGAAAGTGACTGAAGTCAAGATGAAATATTTGCTATTTACTTCATAATTTTTTTTTTTTATATTCTACTTCTCAAAAAGTAGGTTAGATAAACTTTATGTTCAAACAAAATGTATCTTCAGGTACATGCAAATCTCATACTTTTTTCTATTATTGGTACTATACGCTAGAGATGCAATCCTTCAACCCAGATTAGTTGATATTGACATAGTGACATGAAATAGAAATTTAAAGAGAAAGGGAATCCATTTGGAGAAATTACATTAATAATAATGATATTGGATAAAACTAAGAACTAATGATGATTATTTTACTGTTTAAGCCATGATTTTTTTTTTTTTTTTGGAGAACTGCTTTTGAGAGATGACAAATCTGTCATATTTAACAAAACATGTTTGAAAGAATACAGAAAAAATGCAAATAATTCAGTTGAGAGCTGCAAACAACATAATTCAGCATCTGTCTATATTTCTGGGATGAGATATTGTAACTATTTACACTAATGATATTCTAATGTATATCAACTGAAGAAGGCCAGAGTGTATAATAGCCAAAATGTTGTGAATATGGCAATAAAGATGAGGACAACAGTTCAAACAATGTAAATGGTGTAAATAACAATTCAGTTATATTTTATATCTGAATTATAGAAAAATCAAGTTACACATGCATCCCACAAATATTACTGGAAGTTTCTACCCACTAGCCACATCTCTCTCTCTACCACATTTTTTCAATGTTTTTATACATATTTGCATACAATGTTCATAGCATATGATAAATTCAGATATTCTTGCTGATAATTTTATTTATTTTCACCAATTTCATGAAACTGATTATGATTAATACAAGATTTGCCCACATCAGTTTGAAGTAAAATTCAATCCTTGCTTTCAAAAACATTCAGTGTTTAACATTTTCTTATATTTAATAAAAATGAATTCATATTTGAATTAGTCCTATGGATAAGAGAATTATATTTATTTCACATCAGTGCTAGAGGTTTGTTTTCATGTCCAGGTAGAAGCCAATATTTTGAATGCTGATTTTCAAAGCAAGGAAATCTACTCCACTAAGAATAGATGTGCAACACAATCTTCCTATTATCCTCCTCCAGCATATTAAGCTAAACTTGGTAAATATCAAGATGTTAAAGTAAATAAACTACAACTAATAATAATAATAATAATAATAATAATAATAATAATAATGGTTATACTTTCTTAATATTTATACAGCTATAATATTTACAATACCCACTTCATATTTGAACAATTCAGTGTTCTTCAGTTTTGTTTTTGTCCTGTAACTATGAGACAGCTTGTGAACACCTTTCACTAATACCCTTACGAAAGGCACAAACCAATTATTTCTTGAATTATGAGTAGTAAGAGTTCTTTAACCTTGTAAAGCTGTCCATTTTGGATATTAGACTAGCATCTCAGCTCTATAAAATTTCACTTGCTACTGAAATTGAAAGAGCATCACTCTGTAGCATTGAAGACCTCTCAACCCATCTGCAAGGTTTCTGCAGGTTATAAACAAATCAACTTATCATTTAAAAATATATGATTTGGCCATTTTGAATAAGAGTTTTCATTGAATGTTTCCAGACATTGATACAATCTATCAGCTGATGTTTAAACTCATCTTGGAATTTGCATTTATAATAAAAATAAAAATTGAAAAAAAAAATGATTTAGGAGATTTTCCATGATACTAATTCTGCTTCCCACTATTTTTTTTTCCTTTTAATATTTTAGCTGCTTTCAACAAATATTGATTTTACAATCTGAGAGGTTCTTTAAGATCTTGTTAATTCACTTGAGTAAATGCTCAACAGCCATTAACAATCTCTCTATATGCATATAAACAGCTTCATGGGAATATGAAATTCAAAATAAATCCTAGCCAATAAGAAGATAATTTGAATAGGATGAAACATGTTATAACTTAAGAAGCAATTCAATTGTAACCATGTTAAAAATAATAAAAACATTAAAAAAACATTAAAATTTCAGGTAGAATGGAAAATCTACAACTGAAATGTTTCCGATTATATATTTAAAATGAAAGCCAAATAAAAATTTGTGAAACAAGTGAAAACATCTGTCCAGTTGTAAAAGTGCAGAAAATGAAATTTCACCCCCTTCCAATCAATTCATATTACTTGAGCATTTGCAACCACTCCAGATTTTAGCAGCAATGCACAACAAATTCAGCCTCAAAGAAGAAAAGACTTTCAGAAAGTCTGTAAAAGAAAGGAAAAAAAGAAAGGAAAAAAAGCGAGGAAAAAAAAAAAGTATCAAGCCAATCAGTACAATAGAAAGTAATCAACCCCAAATGCCAAACAAACAGCTGCCATCTTTTGAAGCAATGGACAATCAATATGGATCAGTGGAATCACAATTTGGCACAAAAACACTTGCTGACACCCAAGAACAGTTTCAGAAAATATTTTTGGAATTTGAAGTTAATCACCTTTCCCTAAATAACTGATAAAAATCGCAAGATGTTCTTCAGCCAAGGATAACAGAAAGCCAGAAATGAGCAAAATTAGTTTCAGAGGATACACTTTTTTACTTTTTTTTTTTCTTTTAAACTGAAGTCAATCCAGTACAGGGCTCAAGAACCATTCAAGGTAGAGGGTTACTGAACGAGGTGTGAAATATGAACATAAAAGTAGGAAATGTGAAGTGAAGATTACAAGGATATCACAGAAAGATAATGATTGACCCTAGACCTGAAAATTGTAGTATTCATGAAAGCAGCCATATGGGAGCCTGTTCCACAAAATAGCAGCTATTGGAAGAAGCATACACGAAAATAACTAAAATTGACAATTGTCATCAACATTTTATTGTCAAAAACTTTATAGGCATGACAAAATTCAACCATCATCTTAAAATATTTGAATCCACTCAACTGTATCAATATACTACAGATGATAGCATCACACACAAAGCTGGTTTCAGTTAATTTTAAGTTTAATGTTTAGGTTCCGAAACATGGAAATTTCTGTGTCGTGATGAATACATATTTTTAAATGATAATATGCTCTACTGTGTATCAAGCACTGGTTTTGAAAATAAACGCTAAATAACTGGATTATAAATCTGACTGTTCTTTCTTTTTATACTTTTTTTATTTTTTCATATTGGGCCTGGTGCTATAAAATGAAAACTACCACACATCAATTCAGCATTTAAATTCCTTTTGAAGTAGCTCCCTTCTGAAGTCATACACTTTTATCCATCATCATTTCAATTGAGGGAAGCATTGCTCAAACTCCTTTTTTTGGGATAGCTAGCAGCTGCCTCGTCACATTCTTTTGTATTCTCTTGATGTCTTGAAATCTGGTTCCTTTCAAGTGGGATTAGATTTTTGAAGAGAAAAAAGCTGGACAGAATGAGATCTAGAGAAAAATGACTGTTGGACATGGGGAATGTTGTACTTGGCCAAAATCTGCTGCACAAGCTATGGTCACTGATGGAGCCCTCTGTGATGTGGTGAGATGTCCACACTCTAAACCAGTGGTGCCAAATACATTGATTGCAATCAACCTGTCAATCACATAGGTAGTGTGGGTAGATCACACAGCATTAAAAAAAAAAAAAAAAAATTAGCCTATCATTCATCCTCACTGTAGCATTTGCCACTTGATTGATGTACAGTGCAACCAGTCTGAGATCTTATCTTATCACTCATCAACACATAGGGTCACCATGCATGCGCGGCTAAATTGCATGGGCTACTGTAAGACTGTAGTAAACTAATTAGCAGTTTCCAATTTATTTCTACAAAAGAAAGGGTTTAAAAATGAGCGGTGGAGCTGGACCAAATAAGAAACCAAAAACAAACCACATCTATTCAGAATAGGAGGAGGATTTTTTTTTTCATAATGCTATATTCAAGATTTGCCAATCAACAATCAATATACCAATTAAAAAATGTGGAGCAACACTTTCAGACTGTTCATAAAATCTATGGCACTGACTTCCCACCAAAAAAAGTGAGCTGAGAAAGAGAAAGGTGAAGGAATTAAAATCACATTTGTCCAGACAGCAGTCATTTTTCTCACAGCTGACCTCAAAAGCGAAGGCAGCCACTAAAGCATCATTCAAAATGATTCACACCATCATTAAGCAAAAGAAGTCCTTTCAAGATGGAAAAATGATAAAAGAGGCATTTGTTGAAGCAGCAGACTTTTTGTTTCGGGACTTTAAAAGCAAACTGGAGATATTATCTTCAGTCAAAGCTCTCCAGCTATC